AATTACTGCTCATATTTTTACTACCTCTGCTAAGTTAATGTGGTGTGACAAACTGAACTGATGTATGTACGTATGTAAGTACGAATTTCTGCGTTGTAGCTCGGTGGGTCAAAATGATGCTTTTGATTAACAGGAAAAGGGTACAGATAAATGGTGAGGATGGGGGTTTTACAATAAATTCCCTATCCTTAATAAATCATTACCGTTTAATAGATGATACGCCTAATTAAATACCTATTAGTTTGTAGTGTCACAACTGAAGCTGCCTTTTGATAAATAATGCTTATTTCCGCAAATGACCGACTTTATATACAGTGAATATAGAAAGTCCGACGTACAAGTACATGTATTTACACATTGGTGAATGAACAAAATTGATCTTTCGTTATTTAATGCTAATCTCTTGATTAAAATAATAGAAAATTGGAATTTACAAACATTTAGTCTTATAAATGGTAACGAAATTTCTGTCTCATCTCTGTGCTGATAATGTTAGTTTCAATGAGGAGAGTTTTAAAGCTTTGTTAAATTTCATATTAACACTTCATTTTTATTCAAATAATTGAGATTCTAATTTATGTGAATTATTTCTGCTATGTGACGTTCTTTTCGATTTTCTCAAACCATTAAACCTGGACTTAATTTAAACAAATGAACAATGTACGGATTTGTATTGAATTATGATAAGTTGAATAACGTAAAGCTGTTTAGTATCATATCAGTTAGTATGCTATATTTGACTGAGCATTAGACTTTGATTAGCTTTAGTAATTAAAGCCTAAGAATAGTTATCGTATTCCCCCCCTCCTCTAAGTAAGTACAGAAATAAAACTGCAGCGTAATCAGTAGACTGATGGCTCAGTTATCAGCGTTCAGTGTAAATATCGCTTTTCATTCATATATATATATATATATATATATATATATATATATATATATATATATATATATAGTATATTTATACATAGTATATATATATAGTGTATTCACTTAATATATAATAACTGCTGTGATTATTAGAATGTACATAATGTTATCACTACCAGTTCACTCCTTTCATATTTGTTGCCCTAATCTTCATGTGTATAGAGTTATACTACTTATTTATACTCAGTAAACAGTTTTATCTTAAAGTATTTCTAAGGATGTTATGTAATGCCGACAATACTGTTCTGTGATATGCTTAAGTATCCACATAAACTAATAAAGTTTATTACAGTTATCATTATAACAACCTTCATCCAACAATTATAACAGCACTCCCTGTCTTATAGGTCCTCTGAATTTTTGTTTGATGGCCACATGATCCATATTCGCTTGCTCTACTTCCTCTTTGGTTGTCTATTAATTGTTGTCAATATTAAACACGGCTATCAGCGGTCTTTTTACAAAACTTGTAAATATTCTTCATTTGATTGCTAAAGGAAGATCTTTTCTTGACAGTTATTTGAACACATATCATTTTAGACACCTCACAAGCTGAGGTTCGTAAGTAATTCAAGTTTGTTCATTAATAAAAGAATGGTTCAAGAGATAAGTCTCTTTCTTTGCTGAACATTGATTTCATGCGTAGCTGTGTTGTTAGACGCTTCAATAGATTTAAAACAACCATCTCCATCTATAGTAAAGCATTATTGATCTAATCATCTGTTCTACTTGAGAAAATTTTTGTTCATTAACACAGAATGGATGCACGCCATTAAAATGTTAGCAACTACAATCGTTGTTATCGAATATAGGGAAGTTCTAACTCTGAAACATTTGAAGTACTTTAATAAACCAACTGGGAACAAATAGTCTACACATAACAACATAAGCCTCTGAATCTAATATGTTAATGACTGCAAATAATAATTTTATAAGATAACCGTTAATCTCGAAATCATGGCACTGTCATTATCGTTTATCCGTACGATATGGAAAAGGAAGTGAAGTGAATGATGAACAAGAAGAATTGAATTTGTTATTAATTTGTTCATTCACTTTACTGTATGCTGAAGTTTTAGTTGAACTACCTTATCTACTTGTGAGTAGCAAAACAAATATCATAAAAATTACACTGTCATCGACTACACAGATTGTTCCAAATGTATTGTGCAAATATCTCTCATGATTCTGATAATCTCTGTCTTCCCATTACATGATTCAAATTTTTCAAAAAAACTAACTGTTTAAAAAAAACATTAGCGCTTAACCACCATTTAAAGGCGTGATCAATTTAATAGGTCTATCAAGTGAGTATCAAGAACTATTTTTCAGAGCGCGTATCACCATAAACAAATCAACTGAAGTGCACACAATAACTAAAGATGAATTTTAAATAACGATATAAATTCATTGAACCTTAGCGAGATTTGATCAGAAAGTTAATTTAAATTATTGCTTTCGACTGACATTTTTCGTCATGCACACTTTACTAGGTAAAATTTTCTCTGCTGATTAATTAAAGAGCAGTTTTGAAGAACTTCAGTGTGTCGAAATTTTTTACGTTTTTTTCCTAAGGTAATCGATAGGATTAGAAATCAATATGACAATTCAGACGCTTACGTAAGTGAAGGAACTATATATGCATTAAGCTAATGTATGACCTCACTAATTCATGATCATACACATTCCAGACTGTGATTACAGTTCACTTTACTGTCAACATGAATTAATTCGTGATTACTGATCACTTGCGTAAAGATACGTATATTCAACCCCCATATTGGGTTGAGTGAATGAGTTAAGTTTGAAAATCGTATGTATTTAATCATCACCGTTCGATGTTTTTCATTAGGATAAAATTACTTATCGGATAGAAATAGCAAATAGTAAAGTGGATGTCAATTGTACTGTCAAGATTATTTTTGTCTGATATGTTCACGCAACCATTTTCCTGAATATTATTCAGTTGACAGTTTGCTGAAAGGCTTAATGAAATATTACTTCAATCATAGTACTTAGATTTCAAGTTTTAGATTGCTTAAAATATTATTAATTCTCGAATGTTCGGTCAATTATTATTCGTCGGTGTAGAGCACGTAGACCACTGTTGTGGATTGTGCAGGCGTATATTAAGTAAATTACTGACAAATATAGTAATAATACTCCTTTTTTTAATTTCAAGTATTGTGAACTGATATTCGCAAACAAAGGAAAATTACAAATTTTATCCTTTTTGAAGCTGTTTAACATGAGTACAAAAATTTTCCTCTTGATCACAAGGGTTTATTTAAATTGTCCTGATTGACTTGCATTCTGAAATCTTTATGAAATCATGTTTTCTGTGGGGTGATGATTAAAGTTGACAAACATTTTTTGTTTCTGTACATCACAGTCATCTATACATTCAGTTACTGACATCGGATTCAAGCAAAGAAAGGTTTTGTACTGAGCCCTGAAGAGCTTGGCAACCGATTAAGTGTTAATAGGAATAACCGTATATCTGTCAAGACTGTCATATTGCACAAAACAAAGTATCCAATGTAACAGTAAAACATATATTATTACTGCTCACATATGACGACTAACCTCGTCAGTTAATTTTGATGAGCGCACCAAATAAACATATTGGAAGAACAGTAACTAACATATGTACAAATTCACAACCACAAGTATGTTAAAATTAAACGAAAACCTTATGATTTAAGCGTCTGTAGCATAGAAATCTTGTGACATTTAATTATTGATGGAGACAATGGCGATAACAATTAACGTATTAGTGCACTCAAATCCATTGTATTCTTCTGTAGATACTGGTACCAAAAGGCAAATCCGAACGTTTACAGTAGGGAAAAGCAAGTTATTTACAGTAACAATTCTTCGATAATTTTTAACTTTGATTACCCTGCTGCAACCTAGTTTGTTTTTCATGTACCTTTTTATTTTTGATGCGCTTCAAGAATACCATTGCATTTATTGTCATTGTCACTGAATCGATTTTTTAAATTTCTTACGAATTTTGTAATCTGTCTTGTCGATTTTTGGGTTATACTTACAGTTATAAACCCAGTCTTTACATCTTTCTTATGGATACTTGTTGATGGAACTTCATCAAAACACCTACAGCCTTTAATTTTCATCATCATTATTTTGATGGTTGATTAATGAGTACTAAATCAATCAACCTCAACGATGAACCTGGTTGATTTTAGAATTCGGTCATAGAGCTAAGCTGTTTGACATTATGATGTAACATATTCAATGCAATTATGAACCATGTTTGTTGCTCAGATCCCGACCGGTGCTGCACTTATGGACATCAGTTAGTCAGTCAGCTGTAACGTAGAACTTGGTGGTTACGTACATCAGTTCAAGTTACCGAAAACTATTCCACAGAGAAATGAAACTTTCACGCCAAATCCCAGAACAGTCGAGGCAGAAACAATATTAGTGCTATTAAAAAAGATTAGGTATCATATACACGATTAAAGGAGATACTAAACAGTGAGATAAAAAATTTCAAAAGTTGTAGGAATTCAGAAGCTTATAATTCGAAAGAAGATAAAGAATGAATGTATCTGCGTATTGCAAACGATTTTGAACAATATAATTTAAAATTCAAACACCGGTTGGACCTAAACCAGAAAGTTTACACCTATTAACATAGCCTAGTTCAAATGTCACTAAATTCATAGACTGGTGCTATGTTTTGGCTTGGCAGCTACCAGCTGTCTACAAACCTGCTCATATACCAGTAATGTGTGGGAATACGTAGAACATATTCCAAACACCTCAGTTGATGAAGATTCACTTCTTCATCAATCGATTTGCCATCCTTACGTAGTACTCTATTCCCGACACCATCACTGCTTACTCGACACTGACTCAAAAGTCATGACAGCATGAATTTTCACGTTTTGGTGATGAGCGTCAGCTATCAGTTAATCTATGTATAGAGCTTTCGATTGATACTTTTCAACCAACCAGACAACATAATGTAGTATTTTTTTAAATTCAGCAGATGATGACAATTTGCTCAGTATAATGACATTCGTATCAAAATGGAAAGCACTATGATCGTGAACGTTTTCTTTCATAAAAGAATAAAACTATTCTACATAATTAACATTTTAAAAAGGCATAAAATGGTAATGAGTGATATAAAACAATAAATCAGCAAATTCATTGGCAAATTGGAAACATCATCATTAAAATAAATAACTGAGTAATACATCAGATAGTAGTACATGCTTTTTGTTGTTGTATAAAATAGAAAATACATGAGATATGTTAAGAGAATAAAATTGTGTTTCATTCAAGTACAATCGGAAAAAGGTTTCGCATAATTAATAAATAAAGGGCCTGTATTTAATAAAATGCATTCGTAATTTTGGATATACAAAAGAAATAGATGTAAAAAGGTAGAATATACAAAAAAATCAGACAAAAGTATACAAGTATAAATGCATGAATATTCTGTGTGGAATTAGATGGTTAAATACTGTTCAAAGTCATCACTGGTTTTATCCAAGATAATATCTATGGGACAAATTAAAAAATAAAATATAAATATGTATTTCACGTTACGATTATTTCATGCTTCGAATACTACTGTTCATGATGATTTAAAAAGTATTCGCTTATAGTTTGTGTCAAAGCACACATTCATAGTATGAGTTGATCATTTTAAGTTGGTAAACAAAATTTATATAAATTAGTCACTTTTAAAGATTTCATAATAACATGTAATAAAATGCTAGTAATATTACTTTCTCAAAAAACATTTTGTATTCACAGATAAAATAAAGCACATTCCATTAATTCTAATTTATATCAATTGAAATCAACTTGATAATTATTTATGTGTATAATATCTTATCAGTTTACGGTTATGTATATTGTGCATTATCGAGTTATGAAGATTGTCAAGTTTCATTGAAATAATGGATCGATTAGACCACCTGAACGCACTGGACGACCGTTTCGCTCTAGTATGGGACATTGATACCGTTGGATGCCTGCTCATTGATCTAAATATAAAGCGTTCGCTCACAAGATTGAACGTCCTGGGTTCAACTTCCACCAACAGAGGTCGTAGATACTAGGATAGAACAGCCACCGTAACTTAGGTTTTTGATGCAGGTCCAACATAGATCGATTCAATATTTCAATGTAAATTATGCGTTTTTTTTTAATTTTCATAATTTCCATTTGACCCGACCGTAGCTGCTACCTTGACGTGGTGGTCGGGCTTGCCTATCGTGATGACTCAAACGAGATATATTGGCCGAAACATATGTTCCTGAAGGTTCTACCATGCCAGGCAGGTCGATTAGAGGACGATGAGACTAAAAGCAGCTACTCAAGGTATGAGGGCGAAGTCGTACTGATGACTGCAGAGGGGTGTGACAGCAGTAAGGTGTTTCCCTCGAACAGCCAGCATCTGCAACGATGCTGTCTTCTCACAAGGAAGGAAGGGTTAGAAAAGTTTGACCCTAAAAATGTCACACCTCACTCTACCTCACAGATTTCCGTCTCCGGAGGTAAGGGTGCCCACTAAGGTCTTTTAAAATGAACTAATACTCAAAAAACCTTTCATAAAAAGGCCGGGCGTGACCGGCCTCAAGCAGTTGTCCCTTGGGCTGTGCGGTCACGCTCCCAGGTCTCCAAGACCGACACTAATCTACCTTCCTTTTCAGGCCCCTTAAGAAACAACCTTTCACGGTGTGGGCAGCCGGGAAGTGACAACCGCCCTCATACCTGCAACAGCATACGAGACCCAATACTTTGGTCATGCACCAAGGTTTAGACACATTGAAGAGGATTAAATTTTCAACTAATAACAAGATGGAAAAATACTGCAAGGTTGGAGGTGAAAATAAACATCCGAACAACTGCCACTCACTTATGTGAATAACAACCAAGGTCAACAGATCAGGCTGCCAATTCATTGAGGAGGAATTCTAATTACTCGCTCATAATTAAAGCATATCTTGATGATGTTGTCAAGACAGTCTCATGATTAAACCATTTAGCACAGAAAACATAAGACTGATACAAATATAGATATGACTTCAAACAAACTGCACAATTATGTTAGCGTTAAGATAAAACAGTAATCTCTGCAATTTATTTCCTTCACTAACTGACTGGTTCTTCAAAACTGAATGCATATTTTAGTATTCTGATGTTATGTCTAAAGAGAAATTTCACACGTTATAAATACTCATATCAGGATAATCAATGAAATGTAATCAAGTTTGAATACAAACACGTATACATTAAATAATAATCAAGGTCTTTTGTAAGACTTAACTTTTCTGCTTAAATTTTATACTGATGACTTTTTATTCAAAATTTTAATTCTATGAAGAATTATTGAAAGACGTATTTCTCTTTAAATCTCCACAATAATAAATGATGAAAACAATAACTTTATAATAAACAAGTATTAATTTTCAAGAGAATAAAGTTTGGACAAGAAATAATGACAATTTACTTACAGTACAAATTGTCTGTTTTGCATGCATGTTTTACATGCACAAACATCCACTGAATGATTGGCTATATAAATACAATAAAATAAAATAAACTGTTATTTAATAAAATAATATTATCGACTGATCATTTAGACGTTAGTATATTGATTAATTAACTGTTTGATTTACGAAGCAACAACTAAGCATTCCAAATAAAATCAATTCATGCTATTTCACAAATTCTCATCAACTGTACGCAACCGAAAATTACACATATTGATATGATTACAGCCAAAAAATATGAAGTTCAGATAAGCATTAGAACAGTAAACATAACAAATCGTAAGAATATGAGAAATAGTATTTTTGAAAACAACGCACAAATAAAAATAATTGAAAATGTTGAAACGTAGTAATACAGAGTAGATTAGATGATGTTACAGTTAGAAGGAATCAAAATGACGACGAAAGGCTCACTTAAGCGTTAACTAGTAAACGATTGCATAATCAGTCAACCGATTTAAAAACTAAATTAAATTATTATGTAAACGTTAACAAGATTATATGAGACAGAAAAAAAGGGGTTGAGAATTACATAAAGATTATCTGGTTGACACCCAGTCAGTATGATAAAAAAAATGCTTATCACAATTTCTTTTTATAAATATAGATCAGATTTGAAACAATTGATACCTCTGTAAAACGGAGTAAAACTGATGTTTTTCTTTCTGTCAATTAATTTAAATTCATTACTTATATTCAATTGGTGACCACTAACAATATGATGCTTGTTTAGTGCACTCGTGAAGACTCTACCCTATTTCAGGTGTAGGATTCTAGTGTGTAGTAGAAACTCGTCTCCCTGTCTTTACTATATACGTGACAAGGTAGATACGCATAGATACACCTCTAAATGAATCTCTACAAACTTTCTTTGTTATTAATAACAATAGTAATATTTATTAAAACTAAACTAATGAAAAATTCATGCAAATTGCTTATGTCTGTTACTGGTAATCTTACATAAACCAGATAACAAACGGAATCGTTAGTCCCTATTCCATTTCATAGTTTCATTTCTCACTAATACAGCGATTTGAATTGTTAACCTTTAATTATGTTCGTCTTCTCTTTAACTCATCGAATTTATGCATTACTCATGCGTTCATTGTGTGATAGTTTGCTCAATTATATGTCGAAAATTGTGAAGTAACAAATTTCACTAATTTTCTAGTCCTCATTTATTAATGTCTAATTATACTGTTTAATGCTTCGTCCAATAGTTTTATCTACATTTAAGAACAAAGATAACCTGCATCATTTCAGATAACTAAATTGTGGAACATAAAATTGTCTTTTAGTTCAGTGAATACATCTTATCAGTTCGATTACGGGTGTAAGGAGAGACAAAACCCATGGAATATAATGAATTCTTGTAGGCGCGTTTCACTTGTTGCTTTATGATGCCCAGGTTTTTCTAATCTAGTAATACTCAGTTTTAAATGAGATAAGGACCAGACCAAAATCTAAACAAAAATAGAATGATAATTGGAATAATTACTTCGTCAAATGTTAAAGTCAATCAAATTATTGAACAATTTTAGTATAAGGAAATTTGTTGGGATTGCAGAATTTTCATAGTTTAAAATGCAAATTTTTGAAAAAGAAAAACCTGTAAACTTACGCTAATTGAGATGGAAATGAATTACTATGATTACGTTCCAGATGATAGCAACGATCACTACTATACAAATGATTACCACTATTGCTAGAAATGGAGTTGGACGTGAGCTCATCAGAAATATTTGTCATGGATAACAAACGAACAGAATGATCTGAATGTTCAGGTGCCTGGAAGTAATTTAATGAATAGGATATTCTGAAATATTTTTTACAATTATAGAAGAACAGACTAGTATTGTAATTGAGTTATGGTAAAAATGGGCACACAATTGGTCAAAATGGCCGACAGTGAAGAGAATCCGCTCGAAATACTCCCTTCTGATCACGTGTGTATAACAACTGCCCGGGAACTCCTACTGACTGCCTTACTGTGTCATGAGTATTTTTACGAAACTGAAAGGACGAAACCAGCTTATCCGACGTTTAAATCAGGTTGGTAGTAACGAGGGATTCACGTAGAAGAGTAGAAAAATCTTTATTCCAAACTAATAGGGTATATTGGTCCTAAGATCTTGAGAGAACAAACGGCATTTGGACCTAGTCTTGGTCAACGGCTATCATCGGACTGCATCTTCTAAAATTTTTCCATTGATGATGGATCAGACCTGCAGGTCAAGGGTTCCAGAAGTGATCCCCTAGGAAAGTCACATGTTTCGGTTTACGAGTCCGGACAGTATCCGAGGACATACATCAAGTCAATGATTTGTGTAGCGCACAAGTATTTTGGTCCCATTTTGTACCAGAATAACAGATGATTAATTCACATGAAATCCCGGATTGCGTGACAGTGATGTCAAGTATATGTTACGCAGTAAGTGTTGTAAAAACTTGGTAGATAGAATTTTAACTTGTTGACATGAATAAGAAATCATTTACGCTAGCCAAATAAAAACAGCGCGCTAGATGGGTAGCGTAGATCAAAGTAGTAAAGAGATTGACATTATTGCATCCTATCAAGAGATGAAGGTTTCAAAGCTACGACCGTCTGGAATTTCGGAATCCATGATTAGGAACATTTAAGATGATATAATTGAAAACCGCTTTAAGTAGCTTATCAATAACCTGAATGTATTACAGACTTTCATCAAAAAGTCAGTAATTAACTTAGATACAACATTCGTTCTGATGTTCCAGAATTTCTCTTTTAGCTTGATTATTAAACTCAAATTTGTTCACCTACTGTGAACAATTCGTTACAAATAAATATTTAATTGACAACATATTCATGCTGAAATATTGATTCATGCTTAGTATTTTACTTATTTCAGTTTTTATAACATAGTTGAAGAGATTGTTGTCTATTACTGAAATATGAATCAATTATTGTTAGGACACCATTATAAACCATGAAGCACTAGACGGCCATTTCGTCCTAGTGTGGAAATCATCAGCAGTGCAAATCCACAACACGTGCTACTCGCAGGATTTCATTTGCATACAGATAGCTTTTTACTGACTTCGTCATTAATAGGTTTTTTTTCCATAGGGGTTATGTATTCGTTATGCAATTTTTTTAGCCCAATTATAACCATCATACTTCAATGGTGGCATTTAATTTTAGTGAAAACTTTACCCTCGTTAATTTCAGTTTCATATACAGAGATGTACTTTCATTATGATGAACAAGCTCGAAAACTTTTACCATTCACTTCTTGAGAATAATTGTCATATTAAATTAAATGAAATTGAATAATTGTTGAAAAAATTTTTACTTTACTTCTTAAGATAAATTGATTTTTCAAAATTATAATGATAAGTTAGAACTGATTCTATTTCAGTCAATGTACCTCACATATCTGGATCATACCTTATTCAACACATTATCGTGAATAAAATAATTAGTTAGGGATTACAATTTAAAAACTATATGCACAAAACATTGTAAGAAATAAGTTTCAAATCAAAATTAAAAACTAACCATTGAGAATTGTTGTAAGATTTAAAATCAACTTACTGTAGTATTAAATAAATTCTTTCCTTTAAATTTAGATAGAATGAAACGAGAAAAAAATCCACATTGTTTGTCCGATTTCGATTCTTTGGGATTAATTTCATGACTGCCAGATTCGCAAAATATATAAGAAAGTCGATTAGTTTTTTCAACATCACAACCGATCGATTTACGTCTACGATACTCTTCCAGTTTTCGTTCCATTCTAGATGATTCAAGCATAGTTGTTGATGGAAAAGAATCACCGATGGCTAATTCTTCCATTCCCATACTTTGAAAAAGTTGAGAAGATTTCATTGACTAGTAGTAATAGATCAAGCAAATAAATATTCACTAAGTAGTTTTGTTGATATAAGATTAAAAACAGAAGGCTTTTATTGAAAGGTACCAAACAATACATAACAGTAGCCAATTAGCTTGTACACAGTAATCTGTCAAATGTAATATCTATTGTAAAACAACATAGCATAGCATAACACATAAACAATAAACTCAGCAACAAATTATTTCTAGTTCATTTCGAAGTTAGTAAAGAGAATAACGTACAACGCGCACTGAAAGTTTAACGTCGCATACCCAACAATCAGATCACTTGAGACTATTACTTAAGTGCTGATAACCCTAATAGATAAAAAAAACTGGCATAACACCAAGTTTATATGTTATGAATTCGCTGTATATTGATCACGTTATCATCTAGCTTTTAGGACGAAAATAAAACACTTTCAAAGTAGACATACTTCGTGTAATGTTTCATCAAGCAAACAGTTAAAGTGAATTTGAAAAATATATTGTTCGGGAACGTTATTCAAGTTGCTGAAAGACGTGGAAATATTTTTTGAGCAGTCTTTTTCGTTTGTTATTTCTGTCCACATATGCATGACGGACACTCGTGCAGTATGAAAAGGACTGATATATATTGTTTACGTAGACTGATATAGGTGAGGATATATCGTAATATTTGGCTGCTTAGTTAGACTTATTAACTCCGCCTGAAACTATTTTAGGGTTACTGCCAGTAACAGACCCGGACAAAGGAGGAGGTTTGTGCATGAGTTTATTGACCCTATCCCGTTCAAACCCTACTATGAGAGTTGGAAAGTTTACATTTAGAAGAGTCATGATGGCTCATTTTGAAAGCCATGTTTCTTCCAAAGTCACGAGGTCAATTCCCCTTTTGATAAACCAGATCGAAAATTAGTATGGGTATATGGAATTTTTTTCACATTGTAGAAGACTGGAAGAAACATTCAAATAGTTGAGGAAATAAAAAGATGCAACTTGGTGATACTTCAAATAAGTGAAGCCCATTGGACGTAGGCCATACAAAAAGATAAGTTTCAAAAAATATGCTGTTGTACGCCGGCTATGAAAAGGAAAATGATCTCACACACATAAGGAGTTGCACTAATGCTGTCCGAAGAAGCACAAAAAGCACTCATAGAACTGGAATCTCATGGACATAGGATCATTTAAGCATCATCCAAATCAAAGAAGTAGGGAATCACTCTGAATGTTATCGAGTAACATGCAACTACTAATGATAGCGACGGAGACTATAAAAGTCATTTTTACGGAAGGCTTTATTTGACCACAGAGAAACACTTAGGAATAGACCTGACTATCCTACTGGAGAGGTCAATATCCCAAGATAATATTCAGTTATGAGTTCCAGACCCTCATGATCTACTCAATGAAAAGGAAACTACCATGGGGAACAACTGAGAAGGGATAAAAGAATTTTTAACGCCAACATGTTTTAGGCTATGTATACTCTGGATAATAAACAAGAAAGGAAGAGCAGGAAGACAGCAATCAATATCAGCTGAACGAGAGCAGAGATACTGCAAAGATACTCCAAGCTCATTCCACCAAGATTTGGGAGGAAGAACAAACAACAGACTGGAAAGAAAGACGTCTTATCGATGTACCCGACAAAGGATATCTCAGTAAGTGTTCACAGTGCAAAGGCATCACTCTACTCTCAATACCAGAAGTCTGCAAATGAGTGTTGTTAAACCAATCAAAGATTTAGTAAACGCCGAAATTCCAGATCAGTAGGCTGCATTCCATCAAGATAGACCATGTCTCAACTAAACGGTGACACGACGAGTCATCGTGTAACAGTTAAATGAATGGAACTCATCACTCTACATCAACTTTATTGACTACGAGAAAGCATTTGACATTCATAGGATGACATTACGAAGGCTTCTTCAACAATACGACGTGCCTGAGAAGATAGTCAACATTATACGGAATTCTCGCGATGGACTACACTACTTACAAACTCATACCAAGACCGGTATCAGATAAGGTTGTTTGCTCACACCCTTTCTAATTTTTTGGTGGGTGACTGGATTATGAAGACGTCAGCAGCTCAAGGGAAGCACCGAATTCATTAGAAAGTTCAGATGCAGATAGACAATTAGGACTTCGCAGATGATCTAACTCTTCCATCTCTTACAATGCAACGAACTGAGATGAAGACTGCTAGTGTATTAGTAGCTTCTGCAGCAGTAGGCCTCAACACACACAGGGGAAAAAGGAAGATCTTTCGATACAAAAACAGCACCAAACTAGAAACTCTGGAAGATGGGGAAACTTTTACATACCTAGTCAGCGTCGTTGATAGACAAGGTGGATATGATGCCGATGTGGAGGCATGGATTGGCAGAGCCAAGGCAACATTTCCACGACTGAAGAATATCTCAAACTCAAAACGACTGTCAACTGACATTAAAGTCACAATTTTCAATACAAACGTCAAGAAAGCTCTGTTGTGTGGAGTTTAAACATGGAGAATTAACCAGGTTTTTATTCAAAAGATATAGGTGTTTATTAACAGTTGTCCATGCAAAATACTGAGGATCCGTTGGCAAGACAGCATCAGCAGCAATCTACTACGCTGGAAAGCACACGAGCTTCCTTCTGAGAAATAAATTAGGAAGAAGTGCTAAAGGTGAATAGGACACACTTTGCGGAAGTCATCTCTCTGTATCACTAGGGAAGCTGTAACTTAGAATCCTCAAGACCAAAAGAAAAGAGGCAGACGAAAGAACATATTGCGCCGTGAATAGGAAACAGGAATCAACAGAACAACAGTTGATTAGGGCTGGAAGGAAAGGCCTACGATAGGAATGACGGGAGAATTTTATTCAATGGCCTATGCTTCGTGAGGAGTAAGAGGTGTTAGTGAAAAAACATACATATTTGATGATATGTTAGTTAACTATGTGGTTCCTAATAATTAATTACTGATAGTTTCTATAATCTGTTATATACTCTGACGAACGTAGACGTATGAGCTAATAGGTGAAGAACTATAAAATGTGATAAAGCCATCATATTTTGTTCAACCTGTTGTTCACATTTTATTAAACCTCATATGAAACTATCTATCAACTAAAGACGTCTCACCTCTTCGACTATACGCTTCTGTTCTAGCCACTGTTCAAATTGAATAAAATCTGATGCGCGCATTGGCCACTTTGCACTACTTTCTTTACGAAGGCTTTTTCGCGCTGTTTTAACTGCTCTGCAAAGAGAAATAGGTTTCGAAAATATCAAAGCGTAAAGTAACGCATAAAATTTAGAAATGATATCAATTTAGTAAATGACGCAGTCATTAAAAACAAAAACATCTTAAATAGAATGAAGTAAATAATAACAAATATATTTAATTAGACGAATAAGTTTATAATGAAGAAATACTTTGAGCTAATAATGTCAAACGGATAGTTCATTTACGTTTCCACACGTAATGGAATATTTACCACTTTTCTTAAAGAATTGATTACTGAAAATTTATAGAGATTTCCTTTGCACTAATGCAACTCTGACGTACATTATTGACACTACTGTATAACTGAAAAAAGCTACACAAAATAAGTATTCTGAATTTGAGAATACTGTAGATACACGATTGAGACTAATTAGAATTTATGATAAAGTATTAATAAGGCTCTTAAGAATAAATGTACCACATACTGAATGGCTGTTTCTAAACTAGAAATCCAATCTTCAGCTTCAGTTAAACTTTCATTCACGATAGTAAAACTAGCGTCACGACAATGTACCTAGAAGACAAAAAAGATTCATGCTTAAATAAAACCTATTCAAAATTAAAGTACCACTGTTATGAAGAAACGTTTCATTAATAAAGAAATATGTCACTCGATTAGACAACTGATACAGTTTTGTAAAGCAAGAACAAGAAACATTATGGGATGAAGTCATTCCATTTCATTTAGTGAACTCTAAATCTCTCACTGGATTGTATAAATACATAAGATGTTTCACAAATGTAATTTTGTATGCAACACGCATAAGGTCATTTAGTTCACTATTAATATGATTACTTTACTATTAATTTTGACGTAACATCAATATTATGGTTGTGTTTATCGTAATCAGAGAATTTCGCTCAAGCTTTTTTACTCGATTACATCATTCATTTTCTTTCACTTATCTCGAACGGAAACTTATATGAATATGGATAGCTGTTATGAGTATTTTTCACTAGTAAACTAAGGCTTGTTACACACAAGATTCCATTTGCAAAGACTATTTATTTAGGGTAGAACGGATTATCATTCCAGCCTCCCTTACAATGTTTGTTGTGCTTGTTTTACAAATAGTTATAATAAAAATTTATCAAACCAAACTGAACAGTTTTATTTACATTCTTTTTATTTTGGGTAATCTGGGTAACAAATAAAAAGGTATTATTTCATGCATTTAGTTCCCTTATTTATCTTGTAGAGACCAAGAACGATGAATTAAGCAGGACAACTTGAATTCGGTTTATTTCGTAAGATCCTCATCAACTGCTCACAACCCATACTATTTCGAAAATCAGACGTATTGTATAACAGTAAAAAAAGGGCACGTATCGTCATGGTGGAATAGTGAGATAGAAGAAATACAAAAAGTGTTTTAAATATATATAATATGTGAGGAAAGATTCTGGATTGTCAAACATAGTAACAATAGATCACAAAGATGTAATAATTAATTTATTGACTACATAATGAAACATTTTAACATAAATGAATGGCAACTAAGAATTATATGAGTTGAGATGAGTTAATAAAATTACGAATTCGAAGGAAGTGATGCAATTAAAATAGTGAATGACAATTTTGGGGATAGATGTAATAAACGGATGATAAAGTCACCATGGTAAGGAAAGATTTGTAATTGTTTTTCTTGAGATATATAAGTCCATCTTGAGGGGACTGATGGCTACAGCTTTGACGAATTTGAGAACAATGGAATATGATTATCGATGCTGGAAAATTTCAGTCTACCAACGTAAGCTTTTTGCTGCGAAGAGATATTTAAATAGCACTTATAAAAGTCTTTATTACCATTAACCTGAGACGTTTTCGGATGTGTACCTGCTGCGGCAGGTACATTTAGGTTTGTATACTCAGCTGGCTGTAACATGAAAGCAGTACTTATCAGTCTTAGCTTGGAGTAAAGAATATATTGCTTTATGCAGGATAATAAACTTGGTTAAAGGACAAGCTCTGGTCAGTGTGGTTTGCAAATCCTTTGTTTTTGTCTCTACAACACCATCACCTTTGAATTCAAGTTGAGGGAAAACATGTTTCTTGTCTGTTGTGGAATTTTTAGGTATCTTATGCTTACTATTCCCATTTTTATGAATAAATTTATTTGGATACCCGCTGTTCCTTAAGCATCCTTGAATGTTTATTAATTCTACCTCTGTGTCAGTAGTCCATAACGTTTCCGCCCTGTGAAACAGCGTTTTGATAAGTAACTTTTTGCAACTAATCGGACAAAAGTTGTTAAAATTCATGTATCTTGATTGGTACCATCCTCCATTCGTTGTATAGCAATATCGAGAAAATGAAAATTATCATCCTTTTCATGTTTCGCGGTAAACTAGCTATTTTTATGACCGTCGATGGAAAGGTATAGCAGGTGTTTTGCTTGTTGCTAATCATAATGATAAATGTTTCGTCAACATACGTTATTTCATTAATTGTTACTTTAATCTTTGTCTGATTAAAATAGATAAATAAAACAATCAGTGCCATTAAAAACAATGCGTTTGTTGATTATCTATTCGACTGGTAATAACCATAACCAACAAATTTAACTTCAAATGACATAATACAACAGGTCAAATATGGAAATGATTTATTCATGATATCCATAAACATCCTATGACTTGATTACACATGTTATCAATACATCGATTACTGATAGGTTGTAAAAATTAATATAAACTGGAGGATGAATTCTAGTACATTCACACATACAGTCTGAGGATTAATGAACTTCACTGTATATTAATGAAGCTTTGAGCCGTTGATCAAATATATTAATAATGCACACTTATCACGTAACTGTGTACTTAATGAATACTAAATCATTGTTATAAGCAAAAACAACATAGATAATTTATTTCAATGATAATTAAGACATACGGTAAAACTATATTCATTCAAATGTTCATGGTGTTTTCGGGCGCAGTCATCTTCATTGAAGGTAATAAATGAATCCTGTTTGAATTTTACAACGGATGTTGATTGACAAGGGTATTCATCGAATACCAGTGGTGTTGATGCAGTGCGACCTGGCAAAAAACCCACATAAAATACCATTATTATTCACTAATTACTTAGTTCTGTCTTTAAATTGTTATGTCTCAAGACCTTGAAAAGCCAAAAAAGACTAAGGTCTATCTCCGCCAGAGGGTCAAGGGATTGTTGATCAATATCCAATGAGAACTGTTGTAAATCATTTAAAGTTGTAGACACATAAATAATTCATTCCCTAATGTTAAACTAAACATGTCTAAGATTTTTGGATTCATCATTTTCTTATTCAGCAGAAACAAAATATGGATTTAGTACTTATACTTTGAAGTCATTGGAACTTGTAATACCAAACTCCCGATCAGTAATACAATAAAGGAAAAGATTGAAATTAAGTTTATATCAAAATAATCAAAATTAACATGTAATTTAGTTTACATGTAATTGGGATGAATTTATTGCTTATTAAATATAAAGGAAAACTTGCCTAATTTCAGTGGTATATACCCCATGAAAAGCTATTGAGAAATATGACACATACAAAAACAAAATGAATTTAAGCTAACTATTAGTAGTGGGAATAGAGATCAATAGCAATCATGCGATTACTTAAAACTGCTTTCCAAAAAACCTCGAGTTATAAACAATTTATTATTTATAGATTCAATATTTTCTTTATCATAACTCTAACGATCTAGTCATTTTCTTAAAGATCACACTTGTTCTAAAGTAAAGTAAATAGACATTCTCGAATAAATGTATATTATTAAATCCATATCATCCTGGCTTTTGAGGACGAAAATGTCGTGACCTGATGATAGATAAATTCATATGCTTAAGGAAACTGATATCAAACAAAAAATAATTCAGATGTTTATAAATGTTAAAGTTTAATAACTGTCCACAAGATTATACAAGTAAATTAATTAACCAACCCGCATTTTAATCATCAAGGAAAATGTAATACTCACCACTAAATTCTCTGATAGAACTTGGTGAAATAAACACTGATTTGTATTTGTTTGGTTGATATTCAGGAGACTCAGGAATCGGTTGTAGGAACGTACGATGTGGTTTAAAATGAATTTGAACATGACAGTGATGAAGAGGATAGACAGAAATACATGAAAAACAAATTTTGCTATTTGTTAAAACATCATCTGAATCGTCAAACGTTTGAGAATTAGAACTTTGTGAGGAGGCTGATTTGGAAAATTTAGAAACCTGAATTAATGGATTTGTGTCTTTACATTTTCGAATAACTTTTGTACATTGTGAAGATATTTTTTTCCCATAAAACTGTGTAAAATCAACAGGATATTTTCGGCCATAAACACACCTTTTCTTACTGAACATAAATTCCAAATCCATCTGTGTTCGTGGTGTAGCACATATCAGTATATCAGACATAATCACAAGTAAACGAGTTTCCGCAAGTCCATCAAGAGCATTTTTCTGCAATAAAAAAAGCTATCACTTCACACTGAACCAACTAAATAGAATAAGTTATCAATATAGAAAAGGATATAATCCAGATATGTATAGTATACTTAAATTTCCTCCAAAAGTTGCCATAAAAATACAGAATTTTCAAATTTAAACACTAAATACTCATAGGCAAAGTTCAAACAGGCTTTGCTTGCAGTCACTCAGGTACAACGTAGAACTGCGTACGTAAGTACATCAGTTCATGTTGCCATTCCAAATCAGCACAGAGAAGCAACTGTCAGAGTGATAGCGATAGTAGAAGTATAAGCAGTAATGCGGAACATTAGGATTGGAGATAATATTCAAGAAGTATAATTCAGTAAGATACGTTTAGAAAGACAAAGGCAGAGGTGTTGACGAATCCAGAAGATTAGGATTTGAGAGAACGCAAAGAGTGGATGCACCTGCGCCATTGCAAACGATTCTGAGCCACGTCGTTCAACGTCTCATACCATCGGTTACGATTGTTTCTCGGACCCAAACCAGATAGCCTACATCTACCAACATGACTCAGTTCACTCATCAGTGACTTCATGGATTTCTGCCATGTTTTGGTCTGGCCGCCCCTAACTTTCTTCCAATCCACTGCCACGCCACAAAACATAGCTCGTCTAAGCAGTCGGTGGTTGGGCATACGTAACAGATGTCCCAACCACCTCAATTGATGAAGTTTCAATACTTCATCAATTGATCTGCCATCCTTACCTAGTACTCACTTCTTAATGGCAGCTTTGCTTATTCGGGTGTCCCACGATACACGAGCGATGCTTCTAAGACATCAGTGATCGAATACTAGTAACCTACGAATGTCATCTACTCTTCCCGGCCATGTTTCGCATCCATATAGTAGGACGGAGCGAACTGCTGCACAGTACACTCGACCTTTGGTTAGCAAGCGGACATCTCGCCTACGCCATAAGTGACGCAATTTGACGGGAGGTAGTCTAGATTTCCGTATCCGTGATGAGATTTCGTCACACACCAAACCATCAGCACTGATGAGACTCCCAAGATACGTGAAGCAGTCTACACGTTCGACTACTTCAATACAGAAAATAAGCATTCGAACAAAGTTAATCACAAAACAAATACGTAGAAGTATATAAATAGTTGAAATTTCCTGCTCAAGTGGTATAAATTTACCAAGGAATCATGTAACATTAATTACCTAACGCTATAAAACTTGTAAATTCTTACCTTTTTTACCAACCCATACCTCAATAGTTTGCGCCCTGGTACTAGAATGAGGTTGTGTGACCATTTGCCAAAAAGCCTTGATTGTAGTAAAGCGGCTTTGGTAGCCTGTTCATTGATTCGGATCTTTTCATTTAAAAATGTTGCTGTCGCTACCACACTAGCAAAACCTGCTATAAGAACAATTGTAGAAGCACTCATTCTATGAATATAACGTCTTATAACTGAAAAACTTGAATCATGAGATGGTGAAGAGTAATTCAGTTGCTGATGATTATCCCATTGTTTTAAAATAAGGGTGGCTGCATATTCTGGTATCATGGCATGTTGATGAGCAGCTTCGTTAATGCTAAGCGCACATTTACTTGCTTCTGAATTGCTTAAACCGTCCAGTTGAAGACAAATGATTACAAGTTCTTGAAGCATCAGTGAATACCTAAAAGAAATAGAAGTTGGTGAATGTTTTACTTATATTCATAGATAATGCCGAAATATGAATCAAATTTCGCAGAAGAAATAATTCTCCTTATCAGCAATATATACGTAAGTATCAAAACACAGTCAAGAGATCACTACAGGTTTGTGTACTAAGAACTACCCCACACAAACAGTCACAAAGTTAGAAATATCAAATACATGTATTAGAGTGGAATTTGAACCACAGATCCTCAGGAAGCATAATCCGTGAGCGCAGTAACAATACAATAATAGGTTTTGATAACTAGAATCTGACACAAAAGTTTAAAGGTCATTTACTTACAGGTGTGATCAGGTATATCGATGTTATTTGTCAATTAGAATTATGGAGATTATTGTTTTTACACATTTGAAATCATAAATCAATCATTGTTAGACCACCATGTTGATGTTCGCCTTCAAAGGTTTCAAAAGGTGTACTTCGTGTCACACTTCAGGAAACATGAATTATCTAGAACTTATCTAGAACAATTATTTGGAATGGTATCAATGTGCATTAAAGCTTTCTTTGAAAAAAATGATGTGATTATTGAAAGCTTTAGTATATATGAAAAGCTATACTCAACAAGCATGTTTATTTTTATCAATTATTATGCATAATAAAATAACCAAAGATTTAACGATGCAAAAACCTACCGAGGAATGCGTTGTATGGGCATTATGAGGAATGCTGAAAGCTGCAAATTAACATCTGGCAAGTTTTCCTGTTTGGTTATAAATTCCATCAATCCTGGTGTGAATGCATTGCAAGTCTAAAGGCCGAAATAACATATACAGATACCACTAATTAAGCAAAGTTTACACCATATAAAGATGACTTTTTTTCTATCAAACCAATAGCACTAAATTGTATCCGGAAAAATGAATGTTTATGTATGTTACAAAATAGTCCAAATATTAGGTGTCAAGTTTTTTTAAAAACTATGAAATGAAAAAACATGTTTTTTTTTTAACTCACTGCTCCAGTTATTAATTCCAAAGCATTAACAAGCAATTTCAAGCTAATAATAATCATTAATAAAGTATTCTTAACTATAAACAAAAGAACATTTACCCATTAACAATAATACTGTTTATATACGTTTCGTGGTCCATAAATTGTATCTTTAAATAAGTGAAACTAGACAAAGACTATACACTGCACTTCAAAGAATAATTAAAGTCAAGATATAAGCATATTATAAATTAATTGAAACTTTTACATGAATACAACCCCGATAAAGTGATACTTCCGTTCACTTATTGACTTACCACTAATTGTTTATGATAAGATTTGTTAGACTGTGATTTTTTGGAAAACGAAAATCAAATCTGCACTAATCAACAGCGACACACATTTTAGCCACTTGAGTTCTTCCTGAAAACTTTTAGGACTAAAAGTCTTTTTTTGTTTAGTCTTATAATGTGAATTTTTCTTGGTCAAATGTTTTACTTTATTACTGATTTATCACAGAATTGATCGCAGATGTTACTGGGAGATCCTACGGATTTGAAGAATTCTTTGACCACTTGAAGCAATCGTTTTAAGAATACGCAACTTAGATAATGAATATGAGAAGAGAATGAGAGAGTGCCCAATTAGTTTAAAGTTTCGAAAATCGAACTCCAAAGACCAGATTCTCTACATTTTTATGTTGGTAGGCTTTAGGTTTTTCTAGTATTCACGTTGATGTGACTGATTTAGAAGCATCAACCATTGGTTTCAAACTTTGTGATAATCGTAGTGCTATTATTAATATGGATTTGCGGGACCTCTTTGAAAATGTCTACCCACAAACAAGAGGCTTAATACCTGTTATTGACAGAAATATAGACACATGAGACTACTCTAGTAGATTGGTCCTACAACACAGAAAGGATTTTAACCAAGGGGTAGAAATAATCTTTACCTGATGAAAATTAAAACCTAGTAATTACAAAACAAATAAGAGATCAGGAAGTCTTCTTAGATAAAGTGCCGTAAATCAAAAAGGTAAGAACGATGCCCAGCGACCTGTGAAAATGTCTGACATTATCTCCAGAAAAAATGACAATTGAATGAATCAATAAACAGTCTAAAACAAACAGTTGTGCATCATTTCAACCCACTGACACTGTGACACCAAGACTTTATAGTCTTCTAAAAGAAATTAAAACTTGATTACCTTTTTCACCAAGTCGATGCAACTTTTAAAGCACTTGAACAGGGATGTCACTCAGCATAATATAAGTTTCAAATTAATTGACGACAGTGGAGATTTGAAGGTAAATAATAGTTTTTTGATATCACTTAGTGTTTCGTCGTTAATCATGAATGTGTCTTTAACAGAAATGGTTGATTTCAAATGAACTGAGATCTAAATTCCATAAGTGGGAATTGGTATCTCTATTTCTTCTTGTAAGAACTGATCCTGATACGAACGATAAACATATATTTTTTGACTAAGTGAGAACTCAACAGACAGTGTGGTGGTGTTGCTATAGTTTCACCACTAGGTCTAATCCTGGAAAATTTTTTCTTGTCAAAATTAGAAGACGATTCTTTAAGAACTGTGATGAGTGATAACTTAATTCTCACTACACAGCTAATGCTTTTATAGTTTTAATAAAGTAAAGATGAGACGTAGAATTTATTGAAAAATCCGAACAGAATTCACCAAGATATTACTTTGGGAAATAAAGGAAAACTATGACAGAATTTTGCCAGTCTTTTGATTTACCATAGCATTTTTCTAGTGACTAGGTTTCTCAAAATTCTCAGTTTTATTTAACTTCAATTTATAACTTCACTTTACGTGATATATCTATCTTAACAGCTTGATTACCTAATTTATATTACAGGGGTTATATGAAATATATTTTGTCAATCTTGTAATTAAGATTAAATATTAATGTCCAGTTGTTGAATTTCGTTCTTGTCATTTTATTATTATTTAATATGTATAAATAATTACATAAAACAACAGGAAAGTAAATAAACGTGATTGTGAAAAGTGAGCATAATAAAAGAAAACAATAAACAAATAAAAAGTAAGTATCTTTGAGTGAAACATAATGAGAGAAACTGTCCATTTAATACAAATCCAGTCAGGAATTCCGTCAATTACGTAAGTCCCTATCAAATTTATGTAGTAAAAGAAAACCGCAGAAGGGATAGCGCCAGCTTTTATTCTGGGCCGTGTCTAACGAAATCTCAAGTACTTATGTTGCACTATGTCTAGAACACTAAGCAGGAAGTTGTGAAGGGTGGATACATAGGTTTCGAACTCTTTCAACTACGGTTCTTAAGTAACGAATTCTTATAAATAACCGATTATATAATCTAATTTTCAAATTTAGTCTGTCATTTGTTGAGATTTTGACCACTGTTTTAATGAAGGCATTGTTAACTTGACCAAGCTCCACTTATTTGGGCTACTGCCGGTCCCAAGCCCGTATAAAGGAGGAGGGTTAGGCATGGAGTTGGAGACCCCATCCCAAATATAAACTAACATGCCAAAAAATGCTAACCAGAAAAAATTATTCAAACCATTTTAACTCTGCCCTGGGAGTTGGAGGAAGAATTATGACGTCACGTGATGAAAGCCGAGTTTCCTCGGAAGTCACGAAGCTGATGCCCTATCTGACAACCAGAGCAACCATTCTATTAGTTGCATGGAACGTTCGTTCATTGTGGGAGACTGGAAGACTATTTCAAGTTGCTGCAGAAATGAAAAGATACAACCTCGAGGTGCTCGGCATCAGTGAAACGCATTGGACACAGGTAGGACAACAGAGATTAGCTTCATGGGAACTGCTATTATTCTCTGGTCATTAAGAGGAAAATGCTTCACATACACAAGGAGTTGCACTGATGCTGTCCAAGTGCCTCAACGGAAAAAACAATGATCCTTGCAACGAGAAGGATGCAATAGTCCTATCTCCTAAAAAAGTGCTCCAAAATGATGAAAATCCTGTTATCTTAACACTACTCTTTATTCAAAACGTTCCTGAAGTTACTTATAAGTAATGTCTTTCATCTGCCTCACCCTTTCGTATTTTTATGCGATCATAAAGCCAGACAATTCCTATAAATTTAGATTATTAGGAGCCGCGCGAACACTTAGCCAACGATAATAAATCAAAAGAGTTCACCAACATAGGCCATGGATCATCTTAACCGTGCATTAACCATGTAGTTGTTACATCACCAGTCAAAACACTTCACTTATCTTCAGACAGCGCTTTCTTTCCACGAAATTCATGAGTTCTTCTGGCTTTTGACCAAAACTCTTAGTGGCTCTGTTCGCCTATGAGTCACCTTATCAAAATAAAGAAACATTCCGATTTACCCTTCGTGTATCCGGTAGCCCTGATGCTACTTCCAGGGGTCTTGCTGGTGTAGGTATAGCATTGAGTCGTAGAGCTGAACAATCTCTCCTTGACTGGATCCCTGTAGATAGTCGCTTGTGCGCTGTCCGACTAAACGGGACAGTAAGGACTCGGAAAGATAAGAACACCCGTTGTCGCCTCTTCGTCACATCTGCCTATGCCCCCACTGACTGCAGTTCAGACGAGGTGAATGATGATTTGTACAGAAAGCTTTCGGACCTCCTCCAAAAAGTTAAGCGTTCTGATATAGTTATAATGGCTGGTGACTTTAATGCTCAAGTAGGTAGACTAAGTGAAAATGAAAGACACCCGGGTGGATGGAACGTTCGTACACTGTGGGAGACCGGAAGACGATTTCAGGTTGCGGCAGAAATAAAAAGACACAACCTCATGAGTTCTTCTGGCTTTTGACCAAAACTCTTATTATCTCTGTTTGTCCATGCAATGAACAGATCAGATATTCCAAGAGACATAAAATCTCAGCTTTGTAGCAGAGAGATGTTACTTTTGTATGCTATATTTTGGTTAAATATGCGCGAAAGCCATAACAGACATAGGTGAGGCGTAGACTGGAAACACACGAAGTTAAGAGAAAACGGCATATTCTGCAAACCATTTATAGTATGAGCATAATTGAATATTTAATCTGTTCAGCTAAGAGCTAAGAAAAACTGCATTTCCAGCCAAACAACCCAATGTCTTGACAGTAATAACAATAATAAAAGTAACCACATGACAAATGATACTATATATAAGCAAAGTGAACATACTATCCTTCATTATAACTGTTTCATATGGCATTTTCCATCAACTAGTGTTAACTTAGAACTCAAAGTTATTCTAACCATAAAAAATTGAAGAAGAGCATGAAAACTTCTACTTTGAGACCAGCATAACAGGTCTGGCTAAACACTTGATTTTTAAAGGTCCCCAATACGTTCCTGCTTAAGTTCTGCAGTATTTGATTGAAATACTTTATTAATAATATAGAGATCGCATGACAAATTTAGGCATAACTGGTTACGATCTACACAATTACGTTACTTAGAGTGCTGATAGAACATTTCATTTGATTGATACCTCATTCAACAAAAGAACCATGACAGCATAGCATACAAAAAGACTTTGACATTTCAAAAAAGGTTTCTACATTTTTTAGCTAGATCAACTTTCAGTAAAAAAATGTGAAACTGATGAACCTGTCCGTAAACGCAACTAGGTTTTGCAAAGGTTTAAAGCAAAGTAATCTAGGAAACTATATAGAAAAAGTCACAACTCACTTCCATAAACACCACATTTGTTTGATAGCGGCTGGAATAATCAGCGTATAATTTCAGACACGGAGAAATCTTAAGGAATGCTTTTTCGACTCCGACAGTTAAAATAGACTCTAAAAGAGTTTCGCTGACACTAAGGATAGGGACCAGACGCCCGAAAATTTCAGAGTGTATATCTTGAGGCAAGTATCTGCGGTCAATTAAAGGCCTTGCAAAGTACTAAAAGATCAGATAAGCAATATGAAGTTACCTTCATGACTTTCTTGAGATAACTTATGTATTTGATTTCGGAAGTCACAAGTTCATGTATCAGATTATGCTTGGACCGTAGAAGCCTGACATTAGCATCTGAGTTATTTGTGCGTGAAGAAAATGAATTTTTCATCGATGAAAAACTTTTTTACAATGTTATTGTTCTTTATTAAATTAGGTCGAACTAAAGGTAAATGTACATGAAAGAGTAGAATAAAAGGAAAGTAGTAGTGGTATCATGTATTCAAAAATATTTATTAAAGGCTTAAGACATATTTGCGCCTCCGTTAGTAGATTCATCGTTACTGAAGTGCAGTTGAAACCATAATTCCAATCAGGGAACATCATGAAAGTATGTCCATCTACTCATCATACCTACAGTGTCGCTAAACGTAGCTTAAATGTAGTGTTTCTGTAACTTAGTTGCCTGATCTTACAAGAGTAGTGGGACCACGAGCAGTTGTGTGCAAAATTTAAAAACAGATTTTTGATATATACACAAGTCCCTGTTGTTCCTAAAGATAATAGTTGATTATTAAATTATCATCTCTCTACAGTGAAGTAAATATGCCTTGGCAGGACTCCAAAATACCCGAAACTGTGTAGACTAGGTTACGGTTACTTGTAGTAAAAATATCTTTCCTAAACTTTTTTTGCATATTCAGGTGAAGTTGGATTTATATTCGTAATTTTCAAAACATACTTATTAACTCATTATTAACCTTGAAAATCCATTAAATCTCACTCAAGAATTTGAAAAATATATAGGAAGCCGAAATAACATTCACCTTGAATTCTAAAGTAAGATAAAAAAAAACGTCTCAAAGTTTGATATCATTGTCCGCAGTTAGGATATTTTTAGAATTTCGGAGTTATTCCAAGGTAATATGCCTACTAATCAGTCGTAAAAACTGACTCCACGCCAGTCATGACAAAAATAAATGGTTAATATTGATTTAAACCCGCAGTTTAAAGGAAGGAGTAATTTGTAAACTATTTGATCACAAAATTACAGTTTTCCTACTCCCTGTTTTATAGGTAATCCTGAAAATCTTGAGATAGCGTTATCACTTAAAGTCCTACTGTTTTATTACCTTTAATCTAATTGTCGTTTCATAGTGCAATTCCGAGCTGTCCTGTTTGTTATTAATCTCCTTTTACTGAAACTCAACCAGGTTACCATACTACTACTATTACTACTCATACTACCAATTTTATATAGCAGTCAGTGACAAAGATTTTTTATAGAAATATCAATCTAACATGCTAAGAATGGTAAAGAGTTCATTATCAGTGGCAAAGTATGTGCGGTCTTGGATCCTAGTGCGTATGACAGAGGTCGTACCTCATCTACACAGCTGAGCAAGTCTTTTTCGAGTTATTGAAAAAAAATAATAAATAATGACGCTTCATTTGTAGTGACATACACCTAGGTTCCAATATTGACTGAAAATAAACAGTGGTCAATATGTGAACCATCGAATGACGACAAGTAAAAGGATAGCACGTGACACGAAATGGTTACTACCGGCACCAAATGGATTGCATTCTATAGCCCCAAAACATAAAGCTCAAGACCAAAAGGTACCAGTGACTTAAAAAATAATAATTTCAAAGTTTAATTAGTTATATATAAAATAAAATAACTTCAAAAAGCTAATCAGTAATCGAAAATCTGCAAAAAGATCTGTTATGTGCCGAGAATGAATGCACTTTTCATGTAGACTGTGTGTTATTTACAAGGACACATAAAAATCTGGCAGAATTATATTGGTGGGGTTTAGACGTCGTGAAATTTGAAAATAACATTCGGATATTATTAATTAATAATAAAATAATAAAACTGCATTTAAATATTACAAAATATGCTTACTTTATATAGTTGCGTAGCTAATAACATCCATAAAGGTTTGGCCGCAGTCACTGCTCAAATAAAAAGGTCACTCTACAAACATTTGAATTCAAGCAACCACGATTACGGATTCAGACATCATAGTGAGCGCTAAAAAATAATATAAAAAACGAGTGCAAAATGGCTCATAAAAATAAAGTAAAATAACAGAAGTCAAAAAATCACTTTATCCTTGCTTAACATGACCATGAGTTTTGCCATACACGAACTCAACGTCGATGGCTCTGCGGTGGCCAGTGTTTCAAAAGCTTCTTAATGGTCGGTATCCAACCTTTTCTTAAAATTCCTCTGCTGCTTGTCCAGACAACCGTTACTAAATAGCGCCTCAATGTTTATAAATCAGAAGGCATCTACGAAGTGTTGAATAATTTGACTTATCAAACCACAAACAGACCACAAACCACAAGCACATGATGCAAAGGACAAGCAAGCTCAGAAAAGAGCAAATTGCCGAATCAGCGAATGAATTATTAAAATTTATATATCTATATATAAGAAAGTGTCTGAGAGATCGAAATATTTAAGAGGTCAATACTGAAGCGAATATGATGAATTTGAGCATTGCCGAATAAACCGCTAGCGTTCACTTCCGAATGTACTATACCTCATTAGAGTTATACTTTATCTCCTAGATAAAAGGGAATCAATACCCACGTGCCGTTTTACAAACTGCTGTAACACTGCTCCAACAGCGAAGTTCGACGTGTCAGTCATGACGGCTGATGAAACTTCGCCTTTATGTCGTACTAAAATTACCTTCTCATGTAGCACGCGCTTAGCATTCTCAAATGGCTATATAGCGTCTTCTGATAAGTGAGATGTTCGGGTACGTCTTCGCAAAGCGTCTACTAACGTTGCCGCATATCTTTGTGTCGGGTTCTTTTTCTGATGTAAGCGTTATTGTCGTATCAGTATTTACTCGCTAATCGCTCTCAAGAGGCCCGAAACTTATTTTTGCTTTTGTATCTACTAAAAATTGAGCACCCGTTATTCTATCCTGGACGTAAAGTAAACGACTGTTATTTGGAGTTACGTCAGCTGTCATAGCTGCTACCAACAATCGACTGGATCGTTTCTATACAGTATTAACTTTAAATGTGTGTGATGATCAATGTTTCTGAACCCTGTTGCCGCATGCCTAGTGATACCAGCATATCGTGGCAGCTGAGCGCTCCTTAAGGTGTAATCGATACTAACTTCGTGATCGTTTTTTCGGTCCTTCGCTGTGATTTGGGTTAGTCATCTTCTGGGATAAATTGCTAATCACTTTCTTCAGCACTTCAATTTCATAATTTGCTGTAGTGTGAAGCGTTTGTGGACTCGGCGTTTTCGTTCTTCCATAAATTATATAGGCTATTTCTGCCATGTGGCCTATGTTGGCATCTCTATCCTAACTAAGAGGATATGCTGCGCATTCGGAGGGATTCGACGAAGCTATAACTGATGAAATATACTTCTGTCCATTTCACTGTCCACTATTATGCTCCTCATGTACTTATTCAGCTGTGATGGGGTCCAATTACTTATTTGCATTAAGCATCGGTCATTTTCTTAGACTTTAAGAAAGCTTTTGATAGGGTCCCACGCAGATAGCATCTTGCCAAACTAGTCTTTTGGAATCAGTAACGGTTAATATTCTTGGTTAAGTTAAATGACTCGCTTTCGTCACCAAAACCTAATACCAGTGGAGTTATTCAGGTAAACGTATTAGGCTCACTCTTGTTTCTCATATAAATAAATAGTATGTGCAAAAATAGGAAATTTGTAGACCATACTAGTTTGCTGATGGTTTCAAAACAGTATACCCCTTTAGGTCAGAATATTTGCAAAAGAACATAGTTCAGATTCAGTGCAACCTTGAAAACACTTCTATTTGAAGCGAAACGTGGTTATAGCCATTCAACCACAACAAATGTGGCATCATGCACTTTAGTAAAACTCTTCATGAATAACTAGTTTACTTACAGAAATATAGAATACATACACTCATATCACAGCACGATCTGGTTATTCATTACTCTGGAGGACTAAAATTCGGAAATGATGCCTTATCTGTTGTCTTTAAATCTGGACGGCTAACTGGGTTGACAGATGAGAACTTTTTGTAAAAAGACGCTTAGCTTGGCCTCTTCAAAATATGTGTAAGGCCCTCCCATAAATACTGCTGATTTATCTTCTGAGACATGGATATCATAAACAAGATAGTAGTAAGAAATTTCTGACGAATCTTTACGCGTCGTCAGCAACAATATGACCATACTCTCAACTCCACAGCTAGGTAAAAACATCTTTCCTCGCCGTCGATCCTGCTTACAGACTCAGAAACAGCGCACATGATCTACTAACTGCAAAACACAAAAATATATTGTATTTTAATTTCTTTACCATATCATACAGTTTATTGTCAAGCAAATAGCCAATATCCATTTGCATTTGTGACACTATCGCTAGATTCATAAAACCAATAATTCTGTAGTTTGACTGTGAAGAGGTCTATTAACTAGTTTCATAACTCCAACTCCAGTTCTGAGGCATATTTTGATGGTCCACCTGATATCTAGACTTGCCTTAGATATTAATAAACGATTATGAACATATAGCAACCACATTGCCTTTCATGTAAGTATAACCAGTAGATTTCCCTTCTTCCACTGACCATAATAGGCCACACCCTTATGGTGCTAATCTTAAATTTCAGGGTTTCCTTGTTAGTTAAAGCCGTATCATTTTCTTTCATAAACGTTTACATCAGCTTCAGTTTTTATCCCAAATAAACAGATACATTACTAAACCTGTAAATGCTGCTCAACCATTGTCTATCATAAAAAAAATTCTGTCCTGAATTACTGTTTTTTCTAGCTCTTGTGCTACAGGTTGAAAATACTTTTATGTTTCCAATGAATGACATTCAAACGTTTCATTTTCTCACCTAGTTAGATGTCCAATGTGTGATGTGTGTTTGTTGAATAATAAGTGTTTGTTGTGTGTGGTATAATTCGTGAAACTGACGGGACACCAATTAATAATATATAGCGACGGCTTGGATTGAATTGTTTTCTGGAGTTTGCTATTGAATAAATGCGTGAAAGAGTTTATTAAAATCCTGAAATCCCTATTTACAAACACTTAAGGCAGAGTGAGGGCATAAATCCGCCTCTCTCCATAGTTTCATCCAAGCGGTATAGTTAGGCAGGATCGCTCAGTCTCACCATTCCTCTTCAAGTTTGCTCTAGCCTACGTTCTGGGAACAGGTCTGATGGATGCATCTAATGGCAGTGAGATTCTATTACATGATGAAAAAAATTTTGACCTTGAGTATGCTGATAATATTGTCCAAGTGTACAAAGATTCCCAAGCCATGCAATTTGCGCTTAATCAGTTTGCAATAATTATCCATGAGTGTGGCATTTTCTTTTCACCGTTTAAGTGAAAAGTACTTTTACAAGATTGGCAGGAGCCTGAACTTCCACTCACTCATGGTAGTAAGCAGATAGAAGTAGTTGGAAATTTAATGTACCTGAATCGCTTTGTAGGTGCTAGTGGCGGCTAACGTAATGAGGTCGAATCACATATAGTGAAGGCCAGAAAGTCTTACGCCAATCTGGGCCATCTTTGGTGGCTTCATGATGTTGGTCTGTCCGTAAAAGTTTGGTTCTGCAGTGTATCAGTGAGAGTAGGATTACTTTGTCTTTCCCAGTTGAAGATGTTAGAAATTTTTCTGCGTTCGACAACCGTTGTCACAGGAGGGTTGATGATATCGGGCGGCTACAAAATGTTAGTAATACAGAGGTTCAGTGACGTGTTTCTGGTCAATGTGATGAGGATTCAGATCGCGTCACCATGATGAAACATCAACTTCGATGTTTATTATGCTCACCATTCTTTCCCTATCTCTTCACCACCTCATTTTTATTGTGTGGTGCATACATACTTTGGTTCGACCTAGTGCCAATATTAAGTGACTAAACTAAATAAGTAGGTGTCATAACTATATATAAATATCAAAACATTGCCTGAGAAAATAAGGCTAGAAATAATGTACGAAAACACCATCTTCACTGACCGGTGTTACTTTTCTATGGAAAATCAATATCGAAGGACTTGCAACAAGCCCAGAAATTTTTTAAAAGACAAAACTTGATATATTAGGCATCGAAACTATGGCAGACTTTTGTGGTCCAAGGCGTCACTCTGATTCGAAGTAACAATTGAATACGTTACGAAATAAATCTTTCTTTTGATTCCCGCATAATATTCTTAGGCGGACCCCGTTTTTGAGACGATGATAACTGAAAGCCCTACTTGGTTTATTTTGGATGAATTTATTTCACACATTCGCGTAAGCAGTCAGGTAATAAAGAGAATCGTAAAAGAGAAGCGAAGTGAAGTTGAGAAGGTGAATTAGTTAACTTAGTTTCATGAAGCATGACTGAGTATTTTTACTCAGGCAAAAATAAGCTATACACGTGATAAGCAAAGTGAGCACTGCACAGACGCTCAAATAAAATTAACTAAGTTTACGGGTGAATAATAGGCAAGGTCAAGAGACATAAGAATAATGACCTGGAAAGAATGGATTGATCAGGTTTTCCAAAGGTAAGGCCAAGTTATTTGCGCTCAACCCATTAGTGTACGCTACACGACAAATATCGAATGCTGATATATCAGAAAAGTAAAAAGTATGCTACATTTTAAATCGCAAAACTTCATCGCTGATGTAATATTGCCAGTTGATAGATTAAAGAAATCCTTGATATTATCAGATTTAATTACAAAAATTTCATTTAATTTACTTTTTTTATGCAAGAACAATATAGGTATTGTATTTTAGGAAGAAAATGAACTTGTTAGGACATTTCATATCTGATTAATTCTGGAGCATTCAGTAAAGAGATTGTTATTAAGAAGTACCTTAATAACTATGGATCAATGGAAACTTGTCTGAGTGGCAAGGTTAATGTATTTTTATAGTCATTGGCCAACTGACTGAAACGAAGAATTCATTATAATACATTATGTTTATGTTATAAATAACTAACATAAGACTATGATAAACTTAAAGGAACAACTGCTAATTTTAGATTTCCACATTGTATGCCACTGAATCATCGTGACTTCTGAATCTAGGTCCTGCCTGTCTAACATCAGAGACATTCATTTTTCAAAATCACAGTTTGGAGTTTCAAGCTACCTTGAATAAATCTTATTTTCAAACCTCTATCTGATATCACATGAGGTATGGGCCTCAAAGAGTTCTGCCGATGAACTTTCACAAACAGAGGAATATGGTTAAGAAGTGCTTCCTTAACTAATCATAGCAGAAATTTTCATCTTCACATTATAATCTGGCTATCGATTGAAGGTTCGTTAAACGTTAACTTCAAAAGTGTCATTGTTGTTGATACCATACTCATTTAGTAGATTATTCTACAAAACGGGTCTTACCTTTGCCTAATTTAATGTTAGGTAAAACATTATTTTGTGTGCATTTTCTCTGAATCTCTTCTAACTATCCTTATATAGTGTAAATTGTCTATAAACATAATCATATATTTTCACCGAAATGAATTAACTAAATGAATAATGTATTGAAACAATTTTGAAGCAAACATGAATGAAATAAAACACATATAACATTCAACAGTTTCATAAAAGTGTGTACAAATAATACTTGGGGATTAGAACATTGATAACAAGGATAAGAAATAAACATTTAAAGAACGAGAAAAGGTGTTTTCGCAACAAACACACATATAGGCAATAAAATGAATAAATATTTAATTTTTAAATGATAAAATCGGATCGATTGCAATGAACCAACCCAGTTTGAAAACACCTTGATTAGTGAGTTTCAATTTATCTGGGATCATCACCGTTCAAGATCAACGCTTAATTTATGGAGAATAACATAACGAAATGAGTTAATCTCCAACAGAAAAAATATTCATTTCACTTTTGCCCAATGATTGATATTGTTTATTAGCTATTGAAATTATCCCACGATATACATAGTCCAGGTTTTTCAACAGGAAACTAAAGACATTCTGTCTCGTGTCATTTGTCAGTCGATCCTCCTGAAAAATGTATATGTCAAGGACTACTTTTTATAGCCAATAAACCAAACACAAACTTGGACATTTGAATGGAATGTCCTCTCCTTTGAGTAAATGCTTGATACAAGAATCGGTGACGAAAGGTTTCATTGCTAAATCGAATTTTCCTTTTACAAGCATACGTTTTAAGAATTAATTAAAGAGAAGAAATAGATACAAAAAAGGACTATAAAGATCTGGTTCATTAAGAACCTGGTTATTTTTTAATAAGTATAATCAATGACAGAGTGGTGATTTTTGAGTGATGAAGTAAGCAGATTGATCCTGAAACAGGACTAACGGATCAGTCAAGCATCTGCATATAACAGATTTGAAAATAACTAGTATCTATTCCCAGTACTCCATAAATGCATTCTTTAAACACTTTCTCTTCCATGGAAAATCAGACGAGTCATAAAAATCAAAACACAGCACGGAATGAGTAGTTGATAAAAGCTGAAAAGGTTTCAATGAATGGAGGTGGAACTAAATAAACCTCCTGTCAAAAAATTACGAATCAGATAACTTTCGTATATAACATACTAGTCATGCAGAAAATGAATGAAAATCTTTTCATCAAAGATAAAGGAAATCTAATAGATACATCAATATTGTTGAAACTAAAACAAAACAGAGAAGGGAAAGCATGTATTTGGTTTAGCATACAAACAAGGAAATTTATTTATTAAGGTATAATGAATGGAAAAAGGTCTGAATTTGAAAGGGAATGAATTAAGTTTATTTTTCACCCTTTCTATTGAAGTATCGGTCTTAAATATCTTGATTACCTCTCTTGATGAGATTTACAAACGAATCGTAGTCCAATTTCCCTTCTTTAATTGGAGCTTCTTTCCATGTTTGTCTTATCTACAAAAAGGCGGAAAAAACGTTTCAATGTTATTCGTTTAAATTACAATTAAGATTTATTTCAATAAGTAAAAAGTTCATTGAAATTTGTGTTCGCTAACTGCCCATTTTTAGAATAGACACTTTAAACTAAGTGTGCAGATATCATGAAAAAGTCACTTTCAGAACAGATGTTTCACGTTAAATATTTGCATTTTGTGCTGTAAACCTTCTTTTAGTTTTATTATTCTTAAGGTTGGATTTATATAATCTGAACATTCGTCAGATATCTAAGAGTCAACGTGAATGTTTAAAAAAATTATCATCTCACAAACTACATTAGTATGTTAGATATCCGAAGCTATTGTATCACATAGACATTTCTTGTTAATCAAAAAAATTATTGCACAGTAGTCTATCAAAATTTGGAAAATGGTGTCTAGTCATAAGATTAATCAACGAAAATAATTTAACTTATTCATATATTTATTTTATGCATTAGTTAATCTTTATTTATACTTACTTCGATTCACATTTATTTTATGAAATCTAAACAATTTGTTATGATAAATTTAAATAACAAATTAGTATACAGATAATTATTGAAAGAAACATCTATAATTCATTTGTATTCACTTACCTCTTCAGCAGAGAAATTATCGCCCATATTTTCTAAAAGATCTTTAATACTAAAATATGATGGTGATGAGTGATAAATCATGAAACACCTACTATTCTTCTTCTAAATATCGTTTGTTCCCTGGATCAAACATTGCAAATGCATTGCGTAGAGCATCTTCCGGATCAGTACCTGGAACACAAAAATAAGTTTGTGGAAGAGTAGTTTATTGTGTATCTTTTTCATGACCAATTCGATCGTTGAAATCAGGGAGTTATGAACAGGTATACAGTACTAGGCTGGAAATTTATATCACTGAACAGTCTTTATCGTACACATTACCAAACTTGAGACCTTAAAATCTTAATACAAACTTGATATATTTAAAGTATGAAGTGAGAATTCTTTTCTGTTCACTTTGTAATATAATCCAGGATCTATAGTTACAAACTAGTTGACTTCACAAGTCAAAGGCCTTCGTCAGAAAACAGATTCACTATAAGCTAGTCTATAGTGAATCCTTGATTACTAGTATGTTAGATGTTCTTTTAGAAATGTAATATAATTTGAAGATGTAACTTCCAAATTTAACTGGCATCACATGATAAATCACTGATAATTAGGAAAGATTAAATTATTTTTTTTCAAAATAACCGGGATTCTGCATAAAACTACCAAAATGAATTATCATAGCTTAGTTGATAATAAACATGAACTATGTAACTTTAATCGCTTATAATCAAAAATTTACCATTCAATTTTTCACCGAATAAATTGATAAACATCGTGAAATTCAATGGACCAGGTGATTCATCTAACATTTCTTTTAATTCTTTATCAGTTGGCGTGCGACCTGTAGACATAAAAAAGAAATTCATTGCATTATTAAACATTACAAAATGTTAATTCTTACCTAATGATGCATACATATCTTTCAAATCTTCAATATCAATAAATCCATCACGATTTTGATCGATTAATGTGAAGGCCTAAACATTTATGTTAGTATTATTTGGGCGATTAAAGATTTACCTCTTTGAATTCTTGTATTTGATTTTGCGGGAACATGCCAAAAACATTTGAAGTAGCTCTTTGAGCTCGTTTACCACCACCGCCTCCACTGCTTGCGGTCTCTTTTTTATCTTCTGCTGGTGCGGCATCTTCTTCTTTGGTTTCTTTTTTCTCCTTCTTCTCTTTCTTTTCCTTTTTCTCTTTTTTCTACAATGATTTTTTAATTAATCAGTGATAAAGAAGAAACGTGTATTTATATATTTACATAAATGAGACTACTAATTGTTATGCTGAAAGTAATAACTTTGATGTGACTCATTATATAGCTGACTTATTATTGACTTATTAATTAATATAACTATTTCAGTAAGAAAAAGAATGAATACAGTTTTCAAAGGAATAAGTGTTTAACAAATAACCACGCAATGGAACACCGAAGCGTCCATTTTCAGTATGGAGTAATTAATCAGTAGTAAATATCACTTTCGTGAAAATTAGAACAAGATGTATAAGCACGCAAAACTGATTTCAAATAGATTGTCATCAGGTTTTAATCGAATATTTATATGAATGTATGAAAATAATAAACCAGTCAACTTAAGATGAGTCAATGCTTACGATGAAATTGATTGTACGTCTATACATAATAAATAAAAAGTACCAGACAGAAACTGTACTAGTAGTGATACGAATAATAAAATGTTCAGAGTTTTAATGATTAGTTTAATACATTAATTAAGTCAAGCTTGAGTAAATTGTGGTTGGCATAATAACCACTTGGAATTATTACAATTGTGTATCCAGTAATACAATAAAAAAATAGATCGTTAAAAATATAAACACATAATGATGAAGCACAACATAGAAACAAACAATAAAACAAACAGTATTACACTTGGACGCAACAGAGGATTCACTGACTTTATTGATAGTGATTTTTATTTAAACTTATATCCTATACAGTACGTACGTACGTGTGTACTCATAAACTAGGTGGACAGATTTTTGACCAAATGATTGAGACTACTCACAAGTAGGTTTGTGAACTCATGTCTGCTTAGTAAGCCATTTTATTATGATCAAATAACTAACATATTGCAAAAGTGACAGTTTATATAATAAAGAAAAATAATAATAAAACTTCGTATATATATATCCTTAAGAGTCAAATAGAACACTGATCTATCCATTTATATGTATGCTTTTTTAAAATTCCTGTTAACTTGTACTGATTAATATTAGGAAGGAAATCTCAAGTATACAAATAATAGAGAGATAGAGTAACTGAACTCGCTTGTTTACTTTTGTTGATATTCATACTGATCAAATGATTGAAATGATAATCTGATTTTGTTTGTCCTTTATTTGGAAAAAGTATGATACCACAAGGTAAAAGCTAGTCTTAATTCAATATACAGTGCCTCTTTAAATAGTTTTAGTTGATTCTGGTACCTCGTCTGAAGATAATATTGAAAATTCCCGTTAAAAAAGTAATAAATAAGCTAGTTTTTAAACAGTTATTTTCAGTTTGTAAATCTATTATACAAACGAGTAGCCTTTTAATTAAAAAGCGGAACAAACGTAGATACCATCAAGTTGGGCATACGAACAAAAGGGCAGAAATTTCTAATAGATTACTAGCGTGAATTAATTCGATAGCTTAATAAATAATTATGTAGTAATCAGCATAAACGGTTTCACAAATATATGAAACGTTCACATTAACCAGTTACCGATTTGTAGGCACATTAGTTCCATTTAGAGTCTATGCTTAATTGACTCACTGTAAAAAAATTAAGTTGTGCAACAGATTATTCTATGTTTCAAATGCTTTAAAATTTTAGACAAAGATTGAAAATTCGTCGTTGTGTTTTGCAGTCGATTGTGACTAGATGCATTGCTTACGACAAGAAATGAATGTGCTTAAGATCTTCATGTTGTTCTGAAGGCAGATTGAATTAGATTTTGAAGACTATTCATCTTAATTGGGTCACTTTCAAAAATTTTTCTAAGATTTATCGTACCTAAAGTTTGTCTACCTCAGATTTGATTAATATTGTAAGAACCAGTCATTACAGTGACAATTAGTTATCAAGTCTCATGGGTTTTCCAGACATGTACAATCTACAGTTGATGGATATTATATAATATTTCATTTTTCCATTTATATAAGGTGTTGTGTTTGACTCAATAGGTTGAGATTTCCTCTTGACCTTGAAAATAAATATTTTACTAATAAACAAAAACAACTTATCAGACGATATCAGCGCACTATTTTTCAAAAACCGTTATCTCTATAAAACTGTAAAATTTTTATCACAATAATCTCTTCCATATTATTTAAATTTCTGTAGTCTAGGTTGTTGTTTAGAACATAAATACAAGTATTGCTATCCAAACATCACAGATAATTCAGAGTTTAAGTACCTTTTAACATTTAACAGCAATTAAAGCTTATCGTTATTTTCGAAAGAAACTATTCAAAAGAATTCAAAGGAGTAATTGTTAAATCTCAGATAAACTATAAATTTCTGAATGCATTTGGTTTCCCACACACGAAAGATTTTATTTAACTCGGTAAAACAAACTCTGTATATATATGTTAAAATACCCTTAAACAATAACCCAAGTAGAATCAGAGTATTCTTACAGAAAGCAAACTTTACTATTAACGGGTCACCTTAGGGATGAGGGTACATACTATTGGAAGGTTCGAACAAACAGTTTATCATGTGTGTCTAAGATAAAGCGTGTTATATAAAGTAATTCATTGTGGTTATGTAATTTCATTCAATAAAATAACAACTTCAATGCATTGTTATAAATAGCAGCAGTCCAATTAAGGGTTGTTAGCTTTCACTACTCTACTCTAACTATAAGTTATCTTTAACTTAACTAATAATTTAGCTCACCTGTTAATCAATATCATTTTACAATGGAATAAATAGTAAAAATAATAACCATGACATATCATTCATTATCAGAATTTAACTCACTTCTTCTCCCATTATTAGTTCAACGCAGAACCACCAGTATAAAAATAAAATGAAATTTTATAAAATTGTGGAATTTTTATTATATTTATATATTTGCACTGAACTACTGAAAGGTGGGCGTTTCAGTAACATACATCAATGAGAGATTTGTATGATAATGTTGAAAAAAAAAGTCAATAAGATTCCACTTTTTAATTGTACACTTCATGATATTTTTACGTGAAGTCCAATCAAATTACTTGGTTGTTTCTTGTGATATTTGTGCATAGGCACAACAATCATAATCATACACATCCATACAAATTAATAATGTAAAACTTCACTGACTAACAATTTTCCACAATGTGTATGCATAATATTACATGTATCCTTTCTTTCACCCAATTTTACAAAATCGATAATATGACAAGAAAATATCAAGTAGTGAAACTACCTTTCTTAAAATTCGATTACTATAATTTTGCTGTAGACGAGAAGTGATTGGTTTAAAAATCAAAAGTAAATATTGTTACTCCATGACACATATTTACTGTTAAAAAGAAATGTGTACACGAAGGAAAGCTTAAACCAGATACCATCTTCGATGCCAGATACTAATTAAGTCAATTTAGTTGTAATGGCTTGTATTTTAAGAAAATAGCTTAAACGTTTGCACGTTGCGGTGGGATTAAGTAGTAGTCACATCTAATTATTAGAAAATATATACTTTCTGGTTAACAGACGAATGAACATTTAGGGTCGGCTGTTTGAATAAAACTAGTGTGGAAGAAAGTGGTTAAGACATGTGTTATATATGCCCGAACACCGACTGCCTCCACGAGCTATGTTTAGGAAAAAATAGAGTAAATAAATGAAGTCACTGACAATGTTGGTAGGTGTAGACTACCCTGGTTGAAGTTGGCGAGATGCTAGTGTCCAATCGTTAGAGACTGAATGATATGGCTCAAAATCATTTGCAATGGTGCGGATGAATCTATTCTTTGTTTTATCTCAAATTCTAGGTCTTCTAAATTTTTCATCACATTTATCCTTCTCTTTTTTAAATTTTCTTGTTGTAGAATAATGCAAATTCATTTATTTCGTTCATAAAATATAGTTGTATTTTTGTAAGAAGTAACATATCTAGAAAAATGATAGATATCGTTCATATGATTGATCATCTATAGGTGTACTTAGTGGATATTCTAGACAGGAAAGCCAATAAATACAATGACATAGATTAATAGAAGTCAAAGATTAGCCTCACAATTAGAGTTACTGAAATGTTAGTTGCAAACCAAAAACTGAATTCATTAGTGGAAACAAAATAATAATAATAATAATGAAACATTTTGAAAACGACTAACAAAACTGGATGCCATAACAAACTCAAACTCATGGTTTTACAAACATAGATTTTGATTTGAGCATATTGTTTAATATGTAGACCAATTACTTAACGAATAATTATTCTATTTATTGAGTTTAGCAAAGACTTGTTTCATGTACAATTTGAGCATTTTATTTATCAAAGCAATGCATTGTACATGCAGTTATTTTGTTGTTCTATTTATTTCAAAAAGTGGAACTCATGTATGAATTTTCAAAATACTTTTACTTACACTGATCACTCATTTGAAATTTCGTTAATCTAGGATAGTTAGCATTAATAAGCTAACTTCATTAATTTCTATTTGTTAAGTGATAAGCTTTATTTATTTATTTATTCCTACAGACTACTGTTTGTAGTTTAAAAGCTTTATTCTAATTAGCTCTGACTACAAACTGGAGTAGAATAGGCTCAATTTCCCATGAGTGGTATAATTTGTTTGACGTTTTATCTCTATCTATCTGTCTATCAGCACTCAAAATAAGTGATTAAAAAATTGGGATTTGAAACTAATGTTTTACATAACTGTGCAAAGGCCAGTACAAACAGAATTGTTGTCAGAATGTAAATATTTGTCTTTACGTAAACAGATTAAGTGGACGTAGTAATCATTTCTTTATCTTGACTGCCTAAGCTTTGTCATCTTTATCCTTCCTGATGCCGTTTATTCTTCTTGTTCATACAGTATCTACTTCAGGCGCATTAATGATTTTGTTTCATATTTCATAAACCTTTGTTTGATCAGGATGATTCATATTTACGAAACTTCAGGTTATTTTGATTATATCTTTGTTCTTCCTGAATGATTTAACTATGGATTTGGATTAACAATTGAATACATGAGTGAACAATACATATTGAACATATTTAATATTAAATAACGCTGTTCAAATCATAAACACTTGAATATGACTAGACAATTGTTTAGAACAAAATTGCTTCTGACTATATTTATCCTTAGTTATTTTGATTACTTTTCAGAAGATAAGATTACTTGACAGAAGTGTGGAAATCTTTTAACTGTTAATATTTAATCACAGAGATTGTTTAATAACATACTAAATATAACAGTAAGCAGGTAGAAAAAAAGAACGCAATATCTAGAGTACCCTACCGATTAACAGTGAATTAATGTTTTTATTTAGCGATTAAGTAATATATACATAAAAATCTATGGTATTTGGTGAGTAAAACACTGGTAGTAAAGTATCAACTTTCCTTTTGTATCATGAATGATTTTAACCAGGTTTTATTAAATTGATGGATATCAAAAACTTAGCATTATTACAAAGTAACTTTTCTGCAATAGCCTTACATGTCTCTTTCCGAATTCACAATTTATATGCAAAAGATAAGAGAGATAGTTTGTAACATTCACATATACGGATATCACGACCTTGACAGCTGAAGTATTGGCCAATAACAAAAGGCACAAAAGTCAAGAATCGATCGGTAAAATGTGGTTGATGCATGGTTTCAGTCAGTTAGCGTGCTTTTCTATATTTATAAGTTGTTTGTACAACTGAAACTATTGTTTGTTTGGAAAAAAACCGAATAATTTGTTACTTGATGACTGTGCGTGGCTTCAGAAACAATTTTCATTTGGCTCTTGTAGTAAAAATTTGAACTAACATAATTTAAAATCTAATATACACTATACTCCTTTTGATACGTCGATGATAGCATTATCATTTGTAGTGATCTGAACGTTTTCCCTAGAATGCCTATGTATCTAAGCAGTGGTAATTCAGATATGAAGTTTAAAATGAATAGCGCATACGATTACTTGCTGAACGTTTTAGAACTAAGCGGGGAGTTGAGACATAGTGAAAAGTAGACAACAGAAAAACATGGTTTCAGTAATAACGGATATTGTTTCGACTGTTCAAAATGTTATAACATATTCATGCTGTAACCCACTATTATTTAAGCTTCAACTTCGATACGGTAATCTTAAATTGATGTCGACTTTCTTCCTCGTACGTTGTGATACCACATCCCTAAAACACAGTCTAGTGAAAACTATAAAGTTGCGTTTAAAAGAAAAAAATGAAATTAGAATCAAGAATCATTGAAAAAGTATGCTAAAAATGGATGGTCTGAAAGGTTTATTACCAACTTAGTAAAAGTTTTTTAATTTGTCTTATCAAAAAACTTTCAGGAAAAAACATTTTTTTTAATACATCTAACGTTGAAAGGAGATTATGACTCAGAAAGAACTGACGACAGGATTAGGTTGTCACTTAAAATATATTTTCTGTATCTCAATTTGTCTTACTATCTAATACTAAATCTTTATTAAACCGATTAAAAGTAGTTAGGTAGTTTATTGATGTCAACACTAATTGTTTTTTTTTAAGTTATGTGCACCTGTCTTTAGTTTTTGGAGTTTTACTGTTTGGTGAACGGTGGATTGCCAGTTTGTGAGTTGCTATAAAAAGTCAGATCCACAGAGAAATAGCGTTCGCCGATGGAATTATTGAATAGTTTCATGATTAAACTAAATTGTTTTATGAATATGATGCGAAAATTGCATTTATCAAATATTATACTAATGACATCAAATAGGATAGATTACGAACCCAAAAGAAGAATTAATATCAATTGTTCTTATTCGATTAAATATTTAGTAAATTATACAATTCAACCATCGCAGAGTATTGTATTTTCGGTGAATAAGATTATTTTTGAATCCATCTGTGCTTCTAGTAATTGGGGAATGAAGTTCATGTGTTATACATTTTGCAAATCTTTATCTGCAACAAAGATATCTCATCACCTTTATTCTTGTGGTGAGTGAGAGTTGTAAAAGAGTTTGAGTTAGGTTGAAAGGAAGGACACTATAAATCTTTGGGATTTGATACTATTTAAAACACTGATTAACATCTATCCTAATTGTTCCATAATGAAAGTTCAATCATAAAGGAGACAATATGGTGGAGTTTCGTTCACTGGGCTGGACGTTTTAGTTGTAGAGTTTTCACTGTTCTTCTGAACAACGTCATCAGCACAAACTTCAAGTTTGTGTCCTATAACCAAAACATCCAGCTCAGAGAACGAAACTCCACCATAGTCATCCACCTGAGCTAAAATTTTCTACACCATACAGGACATTATTTTTTGGATAAAAAAAACCTATGAGAAATGTAACTACTTCAAGAGTATTAAGTAGTAACACCTAATACTGCAAAAAATTAAGATGTCAAATCAATCCGATTTTCGGCAGAGTATCAAATTGGTTATTTAAAAATTCGCATTTATCTAACAGAAGATAATAATGAGCTATTGAGTAATTTTATCCACATAAATCTGATATCAGTTGGCAGCGACTGTCGCTACGACTGAGTATCAATAATCGAATTGTTAGTTATTACTTGAGAAGAGCCATAAACATCACCAAGCTAACTTTATTATCGAATTGAATTCTGGACACCAAGAATATAGTCTCAGTTGTTTTTCAATTCGCAAATGGACTTAAATCTATGGGAAATATACATTCTCTGTGCCTTCATGAGAAAATTATCAGAGAATAGGGGAGTAAACTCTCGAACTATGTGTAAATTCCTAAATATATGGTAAACGGAAACGAAAGGAATATCTTGAGATGGTGGAGAAAACTTGTAGCTCACCACGAAAGGAATATCATCAGAAAAATCTTCACGGTCTGGAGAAAATCACATCAGTCTTCCGAATTTTATTATCTTCAATACCGGTTAAGTAGAGCACTTTCTAGATTGTTATAGAAACCAATAAAATCATACAATCGGTGAGGAAGCGACTATTATTATTATATTCCTGCAAGGTGCAGGAGTCGTGGATACGCACTGCTGATGAGTCCCATACCAGGACGAAACGGCCGTTCAGTGTTCCCAGGTTCCTAACTGTGGTCTAAAAATGATTGATTGATGATTTCGAATGTGTAAAAACACTAATCTCCATAACTCTAAATGGAAATATTGTTCTAATAGTTTGAAATCCAAATATCAGCACGTCTCAAACTAATACAGCCTTCAAAAAAGACTGTAAAACATGATTATTTTTTTACTAACTGTAGTTTAGGTCTAAAAAGCAGCTAATAGTTTAATACTGATTTAAATTTATTTTGCGTTTTATTTAAGTAGTAGACAAAGAGAAAAACTTCATTTTAAGTACTTTCATTTTCAATAAATTTCTTAAAATTACGAAACCATTCATTTGGTTGAATTCCAAAACACTGAAGAAATCAAGATAAAATAGGATGAAATTACTCTATTTTACCGATATGTATTGTTAAGAATGGTATCTGAGTAGTTCAAGCATGTGTAAAGATCTTTCATTAAGTATAGGAGTAAAATCGAAGAATCAGAGGAACTATATTTAGGAAGTGAAGAAACGCATTTATTTGTTTGACAAGTTATGTATAGGGCTGGGTCGTGGAGAACAAAATTCAAAAATTTCTACCCTTTAATGTTTTTAAAATAATTTGTGTTTGGTTCGATCAAACTTTCCTACGATGTGGTCCAGATCACTATCTAATACTCACCCTTTTTTATTGCAAACTGGATAATCTATGATTTTCATTAGATGGTTGAAATCGTAGGTTTATAAAAATCTTATAAAAATAAAATACATAGACCTTAAGAAATACTGAACTCACAGACATAAACTGTTTTGAATGAACAGTAAGATAGATGGTCTTTTATGATAGCAAAAAGTTTACACCGTTAAGAAATGAGACTTAAAGAACTCTTTTGAACAAATTTCATTAGAAATCATTCTTATTTATTTTAAAAAATAATATATTAGGTAACAATTTACAATTATATTTTATTCAGTCCATTTGTGTAAACAATCAACATTAGTACAAACATAGTATAAACGCATATTTTCTTCAGCTTTTAAAGTTTGTGACTGGAAGAATACAGCTTCTTGTTTCCCACATCGACGACATATATGATCTTCTGTACGAGGTAGCGTTGGATCATGTACAACATCTGGAACAATTAAAGCTAATTCACTTTAAATACAAAAATAAATTCAAATCAATATTCAATTAGTTTTATGAATAATTCATTGAAAACGAAAAAAAACAACTAACACAAAAAAGACTTGAACATAGAATAACAAGAATTCATTCTTATTTTGTTTTGATTCGTACAATCAGCTGTTTACAAATCTGATTTAAATCACTTACATGAAAGAGTTCAGTTGGAAGTTGCTATGATTATACATCCGTATAGTATAGGTAAGGGTGTAAATGATCTTAATAGATTGAATGAAAGATGGTAAATATATACCATATGTCAGAAAACATTCTACAATAATGATAATAACAAAAGTCTAAACGGCTAGAAACAAGTAGATACGCAACGAATAAACGGTGATAATTAGTAAGAATAAAGTTGAGCCGAAATAGCTATTACGACACAAATTTACTTATATTAAATAGGATGTGCCTAACAATAGAATACAGGACACGCGTTAGGTTCGATATGACACTCATTGTTCGAACGTACCTGATGTTCACCACGAAGCTCAAACCCATTACTGTTTGCTACAAATACCATCGCGTTATCCACTTGGCTGCTCAGTTCATATAGCCACTGACTTACACAATGGGGTGAAGATTAATACAGTCGTATAAGTTATTTTAATCTTCCCATTGACAGTTATGATGAGTCCGAAATAGGATGAGACGCGCGTTTTAGATCCCATCGCTATCCACCTCTGCTTATAATGTTTGTGACTTAATGGCTATATCAAGGCAATTCACACAGTATGAACATATGCCAAATGAGACTGATCAATTACAATCCTAACTGTCAATGGCAAGATTCAAACAATTCATACAATTTTAACGTATATGGTGTTACTGAACTGGAATCGAACGTCGTTTTTGCACACAAATAGTAGTTTTTTTAATTCTGGCACTGCGAAAGGTAGATCAGAATGCCGATAGGTTATAACAATAGTTTTAAGAAGTGGTATTTTGATGAACAAAGATGTCACATCAAAACAGTTCATGAACTTTTTAGCAACACTGATACAATTTAGTGTGTCATGTGATTCTACTCAAATATTTGTTCTTGCTCTGAACAAACTGACAAAGGGAACTATGAGTACAATAGAAAATGATTATAAACTGAAGTAGGCATATTTTAAACTTGTCATAAAACGGTTTCCTTTTGTTGTTGTTGGAACTATGAAACTGCCAATGAATATGTATTACCGATAAATTAGCCTACGACATTGAATGCAGTAAACACGCTATTGAAAGGACATCATATTATCTAGAATTGAGTAGTGACTGGATATAACTGAAAAAGTATATCGTAGCAATATAATTCGGTTATTTAAAGTCAAAAAATTAAGTTATCGTCCAATTTTGTAGCAAAAAAAGTTTAATAGCAATCGGTATCCAGTCATGGAAAGTATTTTAAAGAACCCCTCATCACTTGTGACAATAGAATAATGAATCAAGACGTTAAGACCAGATGAAATAAGTAAGTTATTTAGAGGAGATATAGTTTACTAGCAAGTTTCACTTGTAAAACAAGCAGATTCTTTGCTATATTTCCTCGAATATCTTTTAGTCTTAAAAGCATTTTGATCGCACCATAAATTCGGCAGTAACTTCTGGGTGACACTCCGCTGCATAGTGCTCATAAGCCACGTTGGGGGTAGTTCCCACCACAATAGTTTGGGGACAGTCAAAAACTATACAAACATTGACAGTACTGTGAATGGTGGTAGTATGGCGAAGGTGATTAATCTGCGTACACTGAAAGCAGATCCGTGACACCTTGGACGCTATCAAGGTAAAACTTTGTTTTTATCAATGATACTGGCTAACACACTGCTGTTTCGTTAAGAAAGTGCTTTCGGTGAAATTAAGAGGATTAAAAATGAACATTTGGCTCTTTAACAAGGTCGGTGATTGCCGACAATTCACCTGGGGGAGTTGTAAAGCCTTGATTACAGACGAATGACGGTGTATACGGGCTTTAGGATGCAGCGGGAATAAATGGTTTGTGAACTTATTGTTGGTCACCGGCTACTATGGGACCTTATTTCCCAGAGTTGCTCCAGTGTCTTGTAAAATAGTCCTCTAAGTCAATGGTTTGAGGAGTGGTCCCCTATAAAATTCATCTACATAGTTCTAGACACGCGGAAAGTATCACCGTCTACACACAAATACGATAATTTGGGTGTCGCATGCATACTTTGGTGATCCTTCATACTAATTTCGTGTATCTAAATATATAAATAGATTTTCTCTAATGATCCCTTTACTTATTTTGAAGATAATCTATAAACGGGACAGTGTACTGTTTAACATGAGAATTATTCTAAGATACTGTTAGTAATTAGGACGAATAAATAAATAAAAACAATTAAACATATTAGTGATATTTATACTTACTCAACTTCTTGCTCAAGCTTATTGATATAAACACAGGGATTATCTGCTTCTTGAGAATAATCACAATTACGACAAGCATAATATAAAGTTTTTGTACGTTTATCCTCTTTCGGATACAACATATTGTTGCATTCACTACAGAATAAAATTCCGACATGACATTGATTTGGTTTTACATCATACTAAAATACAGTAAGAAAAAATCAATAGTCAAACGAATTTTTTTGAACATACAGTTTCCATTTTTCTAGTAGATTAATCCTTGAAGCATACTTTTTGCATAAGGCTATTAATTTCTATTGCGTTAACTACAAAATGAAGAAGAAAAAATCAAAGTGAGTATGAAAATTAACAAGATACTAAATGAGCTTTTATTTTATTTATTTAAATACATTGGTACAAAGGGGAACCTAAACATTTATGTGTCACAAATTATTGAATTTGTGAATGGACAGGGATACTACCAAACACCCAAACCGAAATACGTGATTTTTTAGGATACCACACCACAAGCTTTTGAACTTAAGTTCTAATTCGCTGGGCAGCGTGGAAACGTATGACGTCGTCCTATGGTAGCCAGTGATCAACAACAGGTTCATAAGCCATTTACTGAATTAGGATCCTGGAGCCCATGTGCACTGACATTGGTTTGGAATCGGAGTTTTCTGAATCCCTTAGGCGGATCCTCTATAGTCAATAATCCAGTTGAAGCACCGGACACACTTTTCGTTTTCTTGATTTCGTAAACAACACCTATGCCATGAGATAGCAAAGTAGGACTTACCAGATAGCGGCTATATATGCGTGGACGAGTGTGAGCATTTAAAGAGAGAAAGAGAAAATCTCTCTTCACTTTCGAACGTACCACGGCATTTGGGAGCTGATGAACTCTTAATACCGATATAAATGATTGATTCCACAAAGTCATTCATATCGATGTAACGTAAAATCTAACGTATAAGTGATTTGGATCAAGTTTTTACACCATATTCGCAGAGTAATTAAAATTATCAAATCCCACAGTGGTAAAAGTAGTAACAGAATCAGAAACGGGAAAAATGGTACAAGAAGACTTCAGAGTTTAGGAACTAAAAGAAGAAGTGAACTGATATGGGTGATTTACAGCCATATCACCAAAGTTCCTAACTAATGATAACGATAATATCACGGACACCAAGTAGATAGTTAGCAACAATCTACATGGCTTAGTCCACCAGTGATTAACTTCACCGCCTAAGGTTGCCAATTCTGATGACAGTTCGTCATAGGCGCCAACCCGGTCAGTAGTTTCAGAGTATAGTCTGTACAAAGTTTATATACTACTTTGGTAAGCTTCTTAGTGACAAAAACAGCCACAGTAACTCTCGATCACGAGTCCAATGCTGACTTACAAATAAGGAATCAATAAGTTAGTCAGCAACAACGCAGAACTTCGTACATATGTATATCATTTCAAGTTGCCATACCACATTAGGACAGAGACGCAATTGTCAATTCATATCTCGCAGTAGTAAAAGTATTCTTGATCTCCTGAAACCCCACCCTGAACTATACATGGGAGCTTATGATGTTCGGACATTGTGTCAAGTAGGACGACATGCTTCCTTAGCTAGGAATTTAGAATCGCGCACCACCAGTGTATGCTGCGTCTCCCAACCACCTCAAGTGATGAAGTTTCACTACTTCATCTATTGATCCGCCAGCATTACCTAGTACTCGTTTTCTAACAACTGCATTGCTTACTCGGTTGTCCTAGGATATACCAGCAATGCTTTGAAGACATCTATAATCGAATATTAATAACTGCTGCGCAGTACACTTGTCCTTTGGTTAGCAGAAGGATATCTCGCCGACGCCATGAATGACGCAAGTTGGCAAGACTTAGATTTGCTATGGCTTTTTTAAATTCATAAAGATTCGGAGGAATTACATCGATTTGCCATTTAAGATGACTGGAGATCATAAGCAACCGAAGTGTGGCTGAAAGCCAGTCGAACTGATCCCAGACGTGCTTTACCCATCGATCCAATCTCCTGGATTGAGAATGAATGATACGACCATCCTTTTGGAGATAGTTTCATTTACAGTCGGATTCCTAATACCGGTTTCTTTGATAAGGTGGAACAGTTGTCTACTGTTACCTATTCCCGCTGCCTTTCCCATCGCTCTTGCTTTCGTTACCCGCCACTGTTCGCGATCGTTGCGTAGGCTTCTTGTCAACATGTGCTTAAGCTGACTTCGCTCCTCATCATGTTCAGAACGAAACGGGATGAGTTTTCGAGCATCTATCAGTTTGGTAGATGCTAATGAATTCCACGGATTCTCCTTAACTTAATGGTTTACCTTACTGGCAGATATCCCGAAAGCTGTGGAAACAGCAGTGACATCATTCCAAGATGCCTCAAGATGAACATCACTAGCATGGCCGCCTGTTTTTCTAGATGATCTCTCTTTAATCAGAACCCTAAAAGGTTTCCTTGCGATGTCTTTCCTATGTCCAGTAAGCCGCAAACAAATACGCGCTAGCACTGGAGCATGACTGGAATCTAAACATGTACTCCAGAATGAGCGGCAGTCCTCTTCCGAGCTTCTCCACCAGTGGCTAATAGTGATGTGATCTAATTGGGTTTAAATTTGAATTGACACTTGGGGTCGTCATATCAAAAGATATCTTTCACTGCGCCTAAAATTAGTATTCGCTAAAAAAAATTAGACTGTTATCTGAGCATAGCTGCAGCAAACGGTCGCCATTATCTGTTCTCTGAGCCGCGACACCATAAGATCTGCCCAAGTGTCTTTCCTTTTCAATTAAGCTACCTACTTGGACACTAAAGTCACTAGCCATTATTGCTACATCAGAGCGTCTAACTGTTGGGAGGTATGACGGCTATCCGTCAAACTCATCTTTTACCTCGTTTGAACTGCAGTCAGTGGGAGTATAAGCAGAGACAACAGCGTGTCCCTATCTTTCCGAGTCCTTACCGTTCCGTTTAGTCGCACAGCGCACAAGCGACTATCTACTGGTTCTGCCCTAGGACTTGATGCTATACCTACACCAGCAAGGCCACCGGAAGCAGCAGAAGGGCTTCCAGACACACTAAGAGTATATCGAGACAGTTATTTATCTTGATAAGGTGAAGTCGAATGAATGATCCCACTATTTCCTGGATGTACTTCAACTTAATATCTGTCTGGTAAGTGCCATAGCTTAGAACCACGTTTTATAAACGATGAAGTGATTGTCTGAGATATTCAATTCTACATATCACATATCCGACTTTTAAACGTACAATAAGGGCAGAATTGAGGTTCTGTATACAACAGGATAGCATTTCCTCATACGATTGAAGTCCTATTTTTCATATTATCTACTTAATGAATTAGCTCCAGAGGTTGTATTTATAATGGGCACATAAAATCGTTGATGGTCATGTACTAGGATGAACTTCGACACGTTTTAAGGGATAATTAGTTATATAATCATATAGTCAACCGCGCATCAGTACACCATTAAAAGAGACACGAATAAGAACCAACTTGACCGCCGGTTATAACCCAACATGAAATACTTTTTGGGAAGGTAAAGATAACCCAAAATCTAAAAGCCATCTGAATGAAAACGGTGTGACCAAAAATATCGAAGGTTCACACAAGCTTCGTAATACATAAATTGAGCTTCATGTGCTGGAGAAAATTCCTTATGGAAAAGGACGAGCTTATGGTTTTTTGAACCAGCAGTTTAACAATAACAGCTAAGGTGATGGTACATACTGCTTAAACATTGGATTTAAAACGAAAGACTAAGTGAACCTTACTTTTCGTCGAAACACCAACTTTCGCAACGCTATATTCACTTGGCCGCGTCCAAGACTCCAATATCCAATACCTTTTTCACGAGCTAGTGTAAACCAATTTGATTTCTTCGCGCTCGATTCTTGTTCTTTCGGTACTCTTCCAGGTGTTCGGTAATGTCCAATGGATGGAGGTCTAGCCACTCGACTGTCTAATTCTAGTCAGTTGGCAGTTGGTTGTGAGTTTGTATGTCTCGGGATTTGAATGAAACGTTTGTTTCAGGGCAGTAGGGTTTCTGGATACTAGCAGCCGTCACATTACCAAGCCGGAGATCAGTTAGTTGCAATGTGGAGAGTAATAAGGGTAATAAGGATAAAATTCTAATGATAATATGAATAAAATTTCAGAACTGAGTAATATATAGATGAATTTAGTTTATTAATTGGTAGTGAAGATTGTGAGAGAGGACCGAAGTGTAAGCAAGGGAGAGGAAACAGAGATAATAGGCAAGATAGATTAATTGAGTGATCTGAGGAGATGGAAATGGTAACAACTAGCAGGTCTCAAGATATGCATCAGGCACAGCTTGTCCAAGAGGGAGATGATAATCTGTATGTGAGTACGTGATTATCAAGTCTCTTCTTAAAGCAGTCCACTGAGGGGTCTGTAACTACCTCGGATGGGAGAGCATTGAAAGTTGCGACGACTTGCAATGAGAAAAAAGTGTGCACGAATCTGAGTATTCGCTCTTTGATGTGCAATCTCTCGAGGATTGCCTCGAGTGTAGTGGTGGTGATGTGTCGGTAAGATGCTCACATTGGGATGGTTTGGCGTGTTTAATATGGTGTACGCCATAATCAGGTCACCTCTGATTCTCCTGTAGCTCAGTGGGAATAATCCCAAGAGCTGGAGTCTGTCGTCGTAGGGTTTATTTTTCAACCCTATCACCCATTTCGTTGCTTGTCTCTGCGTACGTCTTAAACAGGGTTAAAAATAATTTCGGGCTGATAGCACCAAGCTGTCTTCGCATAAAGTGAAGAGTCGCATTTGCCTTGGCTGCATCCCCTACATAGTTCGGACTGGTGTGGAGGCTTTCTGTGGTTATTAAACCAAGATCGCGCTCTGAGGAGACATTAGGGAGTGGACTTCCATTGAGAGTGTAGGTGGTTTGCGTCATATGAGGCAAGAAATGCATGACGTGGCACTTCGGTTGGTTGAGTTTTAAACCGTTTTTCACTGCCCATTTCTCAATAGATGTAAGGTCCTTTTGAAACTCAGTCGAATCATCTTCGCTAATAATGGACCTCCAGATCTTCGCATCGTCTGCGTAGATCAATGCCGGTGAGCTAACTAAGCCTAGCAGGTCGTTAATAAATATCAGGAAGAGGAATGGGCCTAGGATGGTCCCCTGTGAAACTCCTGAAGTGGATACTCTCCAACTCGCGTGCACCCTGTTTAGCTTGATGCGAAACTTTCTATTCTCAAGGTAGTTTCTGAGTTGAGATACGAGTAGGTCAATGAAGCCTAGTTCCTCAACCTTTGCGATTAGAAGTGCCTGCGGTATCCTGCCAAAAGCTGTCGCAAAGTCAAGAAATATTAAATGCACCAGTGATTTTAGGTCCGAGCCGGATGTTCAACTGTCCCAGGCTAGGAGAAGATTGCATGCGCATGACCTACCTTTCCGAAACCCGTGCTGAGCTTGATGGAGTATTTTCTTCTTATATATGTACACCCTCATCTGTTCGTTCACCAGCCCTTCCATTACCTTTGATTGTACTGGTAGTAATGTGAGTGGTCTGTAACAGGCTGAGTCCTGTCTACCTCCTTCTTTAAAGACTGAAGAGAGAGTAGCTTGTTTCTATTCCACCTGAAGTTGGTGTGACTACAGTGAATGCCTGAACAGGTCACACATAGATGAACAGAGGGCTTCTGCACATTGTTTCAAAACCATGGGGCGAATATTGTCACAATCTGGTGACTTTCCTGTGCGGACCGATTTTAGATTACTTAGTACTAAGTCAGGAATAATACAGATAGTTCCTAAGCCGTTGGTTGACATTGGGTTTTCGTAGTACTCTGAACATGTGGATGCCTGGTTTAACTGATCGGTGAAGTTTGTGTTGATGGTCTCAACCATCTTTAGGTTGGTCAGGTCTTCCTTTGAGAAAACACAAACCCTGATTCGTAGGTTTCCTTGTTGTTATGAACCTAAACAGATGTTTAGGCTTTGTCTGTATTTAAACAGCTAGCTTCATCTGAAGGCGTCTCCTATCACTTCGAACTGTGGTATTGCATCTGTTTCTCAGTGCCAGGTATGAACCACGATCCGGATCCTTCACGGAGATCTTCCACTTGTGTCGGGCTCTCCTCTTCGCCTGTAGCAAGAGTTCGTTTCCTCGCCTTCCCGGGTGTGTGGTGTGACTGAGGTACACTGCGTACAACAGCATTCTAGATGATGTCTCTCACTGTTTGCTAGTGATCATTCACTGTCAGCCTCCTCCATTCTTTTGGCCATGGGGAATGTAGAAGGTTCCCTCTCATGCACGTGTAGTTCGTCATGGTGTGTGACGTTTCTGACCATGTGGAACAAGACAGTGCCAAGGTCACTACACCATATTAAAGCATGGACATTGATATCCCTGAAAAGGAGCTGATCTTTTATAACAAATAATCCAGGTTTGAGGACTTTCCCTCCTTAATCCATCTAGTGGCACTGCATCCGAGCCCAGTAAACATGATTCTGTCACCTCACTTAGTTGGGTGTCGCATAGCCGCTCGGCTTTTAAGTGACTGTTTATATATACAGCCACTCTGCCTCCTGTTTGGTGTACCCTATCGCTTCAGAAGAGTGTCATACCTTGCAAGCTCGCTTTTCCCTCTGCAATTTCAGGGGATAGCTATGTTTCAGTTAGGGTTATGTTCTTTAGATCCATTTGAGAGAATATATTCCTGATGTCCAACAGCTCACCCTTTAGTCCTCTTTCGTTTCTGTAGAGGCAATTGGTGGTTTTTCTCATCACCTGGTTCACCTCTGCAACAACAGCCATTGTCTGATTTTCAAACAGGTTATTGAAACCGAGTCGGACAGTTATGTCTGGACTAGCTTCTGCAGGTTTCTGCATGTAAAGTGCATTCATTCGGTGAGCTTATTATCTTCGTGTCTTTTGCCAGGGGTGGTTGATCACTGTCAAATATCGATTTCGTACGTTTATTTTGGCCTCGATGCTGTTGTCTCACAGATCTGGGTCGGATTTCGCAACACCTAATCTGGCTAGACAGGACGTCCTTTGAGTGAGAACAAGCCTGAAGAGCCTCGGTTAGGTCTTCCTGACCCCTGAATTCCACGGCCATCAGACGTTGTGACTTAATGGACTTGAGGTGTGAGGGGAGGCAGCCTAGAAATACAAATAGCCATTGTGGTGTGAAGGGGTAGGATACGTGAGAGCCGTAATGCACATTAGCTTCATCCAAGATCTCACCATTCAATTTGGGTACGCCGTGAACTACCGTAGTGGTCTGATCGGTGATATCCTGGTCGCAGCTAGCACCGACCAAGGTTTATAATACCGGATGCGGAACGGGGAGGAAGGAGGTCTCTGAGGTGGGAAAAGTATGTCTTTGGCAATCTGTCCCGAGTCTAGTGTTAGCCTCATCGGAGGAGGCTTGCATTTCGAGATGTTCTGGCCTGGATATTGCACATCTCGAGGATTGCGCAGTACTTATCCCACTGTTGTTTATCAAAGGCGGCCCTACCTTCTAGTAAGCTACCTTCCGACACTGTAATACTAAACAAAAAGTATGAATCTAATCTATCGTCCATGTCCCTGAGTGGCAGCCATTTGTGAATTGAGGTGTTTCCATACCACTTCTTCATATTCACCATTTGTTCCGTATTGTTAACTGATTCTGAGGGTTGACGAAAAACCGTACGTATGCCTTGGCAGCCCTTTTCACTGGTTTAGTGCCAGGCGATTTAGGTTTTCCGTTAGGACTTTTGAGTTAAATTTATATAGGGCCTGTGGCTTCTCCAATGCCTCAGTTACTCTGTGCCGTGGACAGATATGCCAGAACGATGGACATGGGCGACTGAACATGAACCCATAGTACTCTAGTTACTGTGGTTTTGCAGAAATTGCATTCAAAAGTGGCGTCACTGATTTTGACTGGCAATGAGTACGCGATACAGTACTCCTTATGTGATTGTTTTCCAACGGAGTGTGTTGAGACTCGTTTTTCTTATTTAGTCTACTGGTCTTTTTAGGAATAGGCTTCGGAGGAGTGATGTTTTGGTTCCTCTGTTTGGGACCTAGTGGAGGGGTTTGTGTTGAATTATCCAAACTACGAACACTACCCTGAAGAATGCTTTCGAGTGACCATTTGAGTTATTTCCCAACCCTGTCGCTCGAGCATGGGATTTTCGACCCATCACTGACCTCGGACTTCATACCTCAGCACGTTTTCTTGGTTGTTATAGTATAAGGTATGCTAGCACTCTTATTACTTAGCATGATACCTGAGAGATTTAGAGGTGAAAAACGAGATAAGTGAGAGAGGAAAATACGCGCAATTGGAGTTTTGGAAGGAAGAATTTAGAAGTGTATGAATATGACTGCGAATGAACAGAACCTGAAAGAACTCCAAAAATGCAACTTTACCCTTAACCGTTATAGTAAGCAACTTTGCGTGGATCCTGTAACTTGTCCACAAGTCCTGTATGTGTGTATGCTGCCGAAGCAACTAGGAAGAGAGCAGTTGATCGAGACAAATAGACCTACCGCACAGTGGTTCTGACTTGGAGTGATTCCGTTTGTCCGAATATGTTCTCAGATTGTCAATCATTGAATATAGACAACTATTATAACTTCGGGAGTGATTAAATATCCCAATCTGGTGTCCGAAATGGATTGTTTCCTGTAAATAGAGGGAATACAACGAGGCGCCTACTAATTCTAATCAGTCGACAGTTTTTGTGAATTTGTATGTTCTGTGATTTACGTGATTGTGTTTATCTCAGAGAAGTATTGTTGCTGGATACCAGAAGTTATCACATTACCAAGTGGGAGACCAAGTAGTTGCAATATGCAGAACAATAATAAGAAAATTCTCATACTAATGGGAAGAGGAAAATTTTAGAGCCAATAAAATAATCAAATACGTTAATTACGATAG